AAGTGTTTCAGTCCCTAGCCTATTTCAGGTCCTCCCACCAGTCGCTACAAAATTTTACTCACCTTTTTCCATCTCACTTCTCCTCCTTCAATGATGTCATGGAGAAGATATGGCTCCTCTGTCAATTGTCCAATCCAATGCTCCTCATGGAGGACCTAATGGGAATGCAGCATGTGCACATAATCTCTCCTCATAGGAGAGTGTTAAATCAATACTTTCCTAAGGGGCTTCTGCAGTAATTGGTTTTAATGCAGGTGCGCTCACCTCAGAGCTGTCTGTATGAAATATAGATGACATCAGAGGCGGCCCTCTAATTAGGTGGTTTAGGCGGCTGCCTAAGACCTCGCGCTGGCTGGGGCCTCGCAGTTTCCTAAACCGCCTGAGGGCAGACTGTGTTGGGTCCTCAATCAGTCAAACACCAAGAGGGGGTCCGGCGGCTTGCTCAGTATGCCGCCGGGTGCGAGGCCCCTCCTGTCTACCCAGCCAGCCATCGCAGACACCAGTCTGCAGCTCCGCAGTGAGCAGAGCTGCAGACCATGTGTCTCGTGAAAACTGGCCAATCAGAGCGTTACCGTGGGTTACCATGGCAATGCTCTGATAGGTCTCGCGAGATACATGCTCTGCAGCTCTGCGGAGCTGCAGAGCGGAAGTAATGGCCACCGGACCACCTGGGAATTAATAAAGGTATGTAGTCTCCCCATAAGACCCCCCTCCCTCTCACATCACCCCCCCTCCCTCACCATCACCCTTCTCCCTCTCACCATCACCCCCTCCCTCTCACCATCACCCCCCTCACACCATCACCCCCCTCTCTCACACCCCCCTCTCACCATTACCCCTCCCTCCCTCTCATCATCACCCCTTTACTCACACCCTCACCCCTGGTCTCACCATAACCCCCTTCCCTCTCACCCTCACCTCCCTCCCCTCACCCCTCACCCCTCACCCCCCTCCCTCACACCATCCCCCTCCCTCACACAATCATCCGCCTCCCTCCATCCCACCATCACCCCACTCCCTCCCCCACATCATCACCCTCTCTTCCTCCCTCCTTCACACCATCACCCTCTCACACACAGTATCACCCCCCACACACACACAGCCTCCCAAGACATTGTCACCCCACCCTACACTTTCATCACCCCCCACACTGTCAGCCTCTTCATGCATCCACACTCACATTAACCACTCCTAATCCTGTTAATCTCACCCCTCCAAACTCACCTGCCCTCACTCTGCCACACTCACCCTGTCACATTAACCCCCCTTAATTCTGTCACACTCGTCCCTCCTACCATGCCACAATTGCCCTGACAAACTTACCTCCACTCGCCCTGTCACACTCCCTCATCAAACCATGTCATACTCCCTGACCCCTCATTCTCTCTCACAACCCCCCCTGTCCATTTATCCCCTTCACCCTGTCACACTCTCCCTGCCACTGGTAGCCCTTTACTCACCTTGTCACAGTCACACCTGAAGACATTCATCATACACACACAGTCAAGAAACATAGCTTTGCCATAAACACAATGCACAAAGGCTACAGGCAGACCCCCATACACACTTCAAGCAGCTACCCCATATACATAGGGTCCCAGACAAAAATGCAAACATGCTCACAGAGACATACATTCACACACACAAGGATACTCTCTGTCAGACACACTCTCAGGCACTTACACAGGTAAACTGTGCACCAATGTGTATATGTGACAGTGTGCATGTATTGCAGCTCTATTGTTTCACTTTCTTGTTAGTGGGACTCATGTTTGAGTTTAGCCTAAGGCCTCATAAAGTCTAGAGCCTCTGGATGACATGAGACGTCTTCATGCAAAGTCTGTGGCCGTCCACCATCAAATGCAGTGTGTATGCCAGGGGACTAGGTAAGTTGTCAAACCATACCAAAATGTTTTGACAAATTACACTGGGATGGCGCTTTGGCACTATAACAATTTCAGCGGGTTCCTTTAATATCATGGTTACTTTTCCAGTATATTTAACAAATATGTATTTATAAGGTATAAAAAAATGTTATATACAAATCCACACACCAGTACCATCTCCACGATGGTACTCTGCCAATCATTGTTATGTTATATTATAAGCTAATTCTAAATTCTTTAAATGCACATCCTAGAGATGAACACTTAATTCATTTCAATGAGTAACATACATAGTTCATTAAAAGAGTTTTTTAAAAAATTTTATTACATTTTTACGATTTAATGTAATAATAAATAGATCAATAAACAATCCTCACTTCTGAATGTTCTTGTTTTGCAAGTGTGAGGTATTCAGGTATTTAAACCACCCAGAAAAAAGCTAACTGGTTGAAATTTTTCAGGTCATACCTAACCTAATTTAGCTTCTGAATAGCGGTATTAGTGAGCATTCCTTTTTTTTTAACTATATCTTTATTGTATTTTATGTTCACTTTCTCACCATTTATCATAAGAGACAATGTGATTCACCCACTTTTTTCTCTCTTGTGGCTGCATTGTATATATGATGTCAAAGTTTGATCCCCATAAAATGTAAGAAGTATTTTGGTTTGGTCAGGGTGATATACTATAAAGGTTTTGTTAGGTTGTATTGCAATGTACATGCAAATGAGTGTGAGTCTGCAAATATACCGTGTAAAATTACTTTACGTTAGTTTAAACTACTACTAGTAGCCCATATACCTGAAATAAGTGTATAATAAATAAATAATTCTGGTTTCTCTTCCATCTTAGATATTTGGCAAACTACACAAGTGTCATCAAGTTCCCAAGCCACAGGAATGTCATACAAAAGTGATAATGTGCTTCATGGAACACCAATAATGTCTCACATGGAGTTACCTGGGAGTGTAAACCAATACTTTGATGATATAAAAATTCACCCTTCTTGTATAATTAAAAGCATTGCCATTGATAATGATGCCATAGACAGTAAGCAATCTAAATTTTTCATTACTAAATAACATTACAGTATTTCCCTTGGTAATTATTGTGAGTGTGTATTTGTCTTTGTGTTGGAAGCTTGCGACCATGCTCAAAAAAATGCTTTTTTGTAAACCCATCTTCATATTGATGATATATGTTCTTATACTCTCTTTTAAAGGGAGATAAGTTGTTACCCTTTATGCCAAGTATTCTAAGCTGCACATGAGTGAAGGCATGCTGTTGGCCTCTCTATTCAGGGGTTGATTGCAACAGGGGGTGGGGTTACAGTGCCCATGGGAGAGGGAAGAAATAACACAGGGAGAGTAGAGGAGCAGTAGCTCCTGGTCCCTGCCAAGTATAAAATTTTATATTTTTCTCTACCCCTATAGCCCAGGTGACTGACTAAGAAATGATTAAGCAAGGGAAATTGCTCAAATATACAATTAATATATCTAAAACCAGAGGAGCCCAGGGGTCACAAGGGGAGGAAGACATTTCTGCTGCCTCTCACTAATAGTTTTAATAACTCCTACTTTTCATACCCACCATCTTACTTAAAGTGCTCAGTCACTCTACAGCTGAGACGTGCTGTGGCCTGTTGAAAACCTGTGAAGCTTACAACTGCATGACTGGTGCTGTGGCTCTAAGGACTCGTTTGATTTTTACTTGAATCTGTCTTAATCTGTACTGATTGTTGATTCTGTCAAACATTTCAGCTACTTTTTGACTCCATATTACCACTGCAGATTAATTATATTGCCAGCTGCAACAGTAATATAATATCAGTATATTGATTCTTTGATGCTTTAACCATTGAACACAGTGTGCTGAGTGCTAATAGAGTAGCTCACATGTTTCATAACAGCATCAATATTTAAACAAACACTATAGTGCTAGAAATACAAAACTGTTTTCCTAACACTCTATAGGTGCTCCTTGCTTAACGACAGAGTTCTATTCCTACGACTTGGTCGTCAAGCCATCTGGTCGATAAGCGAGAACTGCCCTTTATCATTCACCACATTTCTCATTCGTGGGTTCTCGTTCGCGGAAAAGCTACAAGTACAGCTTTGTACTGTACAGCTGTACCTTGCATCTTTGCCGTGAATGAAAATCTGCAAGAGCCTTGACGAACAGTACAGGTACTAAATGTACTATCACACAAAAATAAATTCAGCGCGGAAGCAAAGTGATAATAGTCCAAAAGCAGCTTGAACACTAATACTGAGTCTCTCTTTTCCATCTAGAAAACTGGATAAAAACAGGGGGGTAGTACTAAATGTACTTTACTGGGATCCCTTTGAACATGGTGAAATTCGCTGTGCTGATTTTCCCCATGTTCACATTCGTCAGTTTCTCATTCGCGGCAAAGATGTGAGGTACAGCTTTACAGTACAAAACTGTATCTTGCATCTTTGCTGCATATGGGAAACCAACGAATGTGAACACAGCGAAATGTTCAGAGGGATCTCCGTACAGTGCATGTCTTTTTTTTAGCTATGTAACTATTTAACAATGAATCTATAATGTACCCTACTCTGTGTATTCCATAGATATCTTTATGTTGTGCCCAGCTTATTTTAATGTATGAGCACCTCTGTATTATACTCAGCTCTCTGTATGTTATGAGTATCTCTGTATTGTATAGGGAGGAGTAAAATTCTGGGGGGGAGTCTGGCACCCCACCATCTCAAAACTTCACCAGCCACCACAATTTCATTAGGACTCATGTTTGATAATATGAACCTATTTGTTACAATCAAGTCCCATTGGCCATGTGAACTTGTGTGCTCAGTCCTCAGGGGAGCATGTCTATTCAAGTCTAAACAATATATTTTTCCACAACACCTCCTACATAACCCAACAGTGACAATCTAAAATGTAATTTGTTTTTTATTTATAAGTATTTTACAATTTAGTTCTTTTAGACTGCTTCTAGTATGTCTCATAGAATTGTTCATTATCTTTTACCATATAAATAATTTGTTGTATTATTTGCCCATATATTGTTAAATATATAGTGTCTAAATTTCATGTATATCTGCTATCTTGTAATCATATTTTCAGTAAATGTCAAATGCTTTAGCAGATCCTGCTGAACAAGGTGAATCTTGGCTCAACAAACTTGGCATTTATAGGAACAAGCTGACCTTTTTAAAACGTTGGAGAGGCATGAAAGAAAGCACAATAGAAGTTAAAAGAGGTATTGTAATCTTATATATATATATATATATATATATATATATATATATATTTAAATCACTGGCATGTATTTGCAAAATTAATGTGAGGATATTTATCTCAGAATGATGTACATAAATGCAATGAATTAAAGCAAACAAAAATAGATTGCCAACATGTTCTCTGAATTGCTTTAACATCTTGCCTCCCTACAAAGTGAATGTATACCTATGTTAGGGCTCCTTTATGTCTATATTATGGGTCGGCAACCTGGTCCCTACTGCCCACTAGTGGTCATTTCAGGATTCCATATGGGCGGTAGGGGGTTCAGCGGCACAACAAGCTGAATCCTCCTTCCATCGAGAGAGTGGGCGGGCGCGAGTGCACAAACGCACATGAAAGTATCAATGCTTACATACGTGCGCGAACTTGTGAGAACATGAGAATGCGTGCACGAGAACCAAAGAACGCGTGCATGCACTCGTAAATGTGCCAACATGAGCGAGTGTAACACGTGGGAAGAGGAAGGGGAAGAGTGGGAGCTGATGCACGATAGCAGGGACAGGCAGAAGCAAGCAGAGCACTTGTAAAATAGGAGAAAGAAAAGTTATAGGCAGGAGAAGGAGAGAATTGTTGTTCACTAATAATAATAAGTGGGCCAACTAGCTCAGCCTTACTTTTGGACATTGCCATAAGAAAGGTAAAAGAAAAGCATAAAAAAAGGAGATAAAAAGGAAAAGATCAAAACAAATTTAAAAAAGGGAAGAAAAAAAGAAAAAAGGGGTAAAATAAAGGAGGAGAGAAAGTAGTGTTTAGAGTGGTTCATGTTTTGGCAAGTTAAGTTTTGTTATCTTATAAAATAAAACCAAGAAAGAAGGAAAATAAGTAAAGGAAGGAGAATGAGCGAATAAAGAGAAAGGGAAAAAGAGACCTCTGATATATTGATATAATATAAGGAAGGTAAAGAAGAAGAAGGCAGGAAAAGTAGAAAAAAAGGGGGAATTTCTTGTTAGGAATTAAAATTGTATTTAAAGTTAAATTCAGACTGATGCGTATCTGAACTGAAACCGTAACTTACTAGAAATTATCTAATTAAGCTACTTTAAATTTACAAATAATTGTTTTATTGGTGCTGGTTATACCGATAACTAAACTAGAATACAATAACAAAAATACAATGCATATGATATACCTATATTGACTAATGAAAGAAGCAATTTTTTTTTATTATATTTTTATATTTACATATTATTATATTTTATTATTATATATTATATTATTCTATTTTGCAAGATTTCAGTATACTATGGTCCTTTCACCAGGCATGTTTGTTGGATGAAGCTCAGAAGTATTCATTGTAGGTTAACAAGACAGAAATCCCGTTCTAAGTAATCAAAAAAAAAATGAAATAAGGTCATTAAAATGAAACAAACATACTACCATCATAGCAGCAGACAAAGGTGCGGCTATTGTATAAGTGGCTACATTAAGGAAGCACAAAGGCAGCTCTCCAACCCTACCCACTATAGGGAACTACAGGAGGACATGTAGAAACATAATAAGAAGCCTCCCTTTTGAACAAACCTTCAATCACTTATACCATGCTCCCCAAAAACAATGTACTTCTATATGCTGCCAAAAACATAAACAAGTCAACTCAAGAAGACAAATAAATCTCGGGTTGAAACATCTCTGGCTGCGTGGGAAACTTTTTTGAAATCTTTGGTAAGGAGTACAGCCAGCTACCTTCAAGACAACACACCTTAATAAGCTATCTGACATTGGGTCAGTACCAGATAAAGTGATTTTGGCAATCATGAATGTAGTATCAATCCAATTACTATTGAAATCCTTCTTCTTGGGACTCTGGGACTTACTGGTATTTCCCATGTAAGTGGATTAATCTCATAAGAGAAGGCATTATGATGCTAGATTTGGACCTGCCAAAAATGGGGTACAATGACGTTGTGGCAGGCTTATGCAATGTATGATCATATACTGTAACTAAATCTCCATTATTTTATTTTATAAACTTCAAATAGCTGCTTAGTGAATAAGCCAATGCGCTGGATCTTGTATGTTGTATGAATTGACCCCCGCAGCACCCTATAATGTATGCATGTTTAGGTGAGGGCAGCGTATTGGTTTCATATATTTATATTTGGGAGTTCAGGCCAACTCCTTGGTTAGGCATCCCTCCCTGTCACAGTTGCCTCATTCAAATGCCTTATTTAACCATGATCTAGAGAGAGTCCCAGGAGGAAGGATTTCCCAAGTAAGTGGATTAAGCTCATAAGAGCAGGCATTAGGATACTAGAGTGGGACCTTCCAAGAATGAGCATATATATATATATTTACTTTACATGAACACTCTCCCAGCATTATCTTACTGTTCTGTCATATGCATCAACACTTTAAAATGCATTCCTATATGTTTATTATATCAATATACGAAGTACTATGTGTAGACCTATGCTTTTCCATACTCTTATGCATGTATGCTTATATATATTACTGTGCATTTTTATTTGTGTATATGAGTTCATGTGCATGTATGTATGTGTTTATGTATATGTACATGCGTTTATGCGTTCACATAGACATATTTATGTGTGTGTGCATGTATAAAGTGTACCATCCTCTGCACTGTCTGCTTGTTTGTTTTTCTTCTCCCTCTCTTCCCCCTCACTCTGCTCTTCAGAAAGATATTTATGACCCTCTGCAAAAATGGTGTCTATTTTCTAACAAACTTGTGTCTTATCTACACTCATGTCGCTTTAACCCCTGTATCACAACTCAACCTTGAATTCTATGTGCTCAGAAATGCTTCAGACTTGAGAAAGGGAGGTTCTCCCGATAGCTTGTCATTAAAAAATTCTGTTAGTCCAATAAAAAAGGTATTACAAGATACAAATTTTATCTGTTTTTTACATCTACATCACTGGACTAATACGGCTACAATCTCTACATATATATATATATTTATTTATTTATTGGCCATATTCATAGCAGCACAATAATGGGTTAGCACATCCTATACCCATATAGGCAATAACCTAATTAAATTAACTGTATAAGTACCCCCTCCAACCTCCTAGATCTCCCTTTTTTTTGTACTTGTCCTATACCCTATTGGTCAGAGTTTTTGGGACTAATTTGTGGTTTACCTGAAGGTTGTTACACACTACTCTAAGGGAGTTTAGCCTCTCTTCCTTAGGAAGCTTCAGGATATGACCCTGTGCCAAGTTGTCTCCCTGAAGAAACCCCTTTAGTGACCTTGGTCAATGTGCAGTGATCCTAGGAATAGCAAGTAATATAAAATAACCTAGGATTACCTCCTCCTGCCCGATTTACCTGTCTGAACTTCACTGGCAATCTAGCTGTGCCTGCAATCTATCCCTGGTGTATTCTCCTCCTTTTCCCTTCATTTCAGAATTTATTCTGACTTCATTTGCTATTTTTTAAGTTTTCTGATTTCTACTGAATTCGGGTCGAATTTCCTTGTATTGTTTCTGTGGTGTAAGTCTAAAATCAAATTCAAAGTTTTTATAATCTTCCCACCATGCATTCATTTTTCTGCATTCGGCCGGTGCCGCTGCACATGTGCGAACCGAAAAAGGGATGCATGACGCAGTGCGCATGCACAAAAGTCTGTGAATGTGTAGTAGGTCCATGGTGGACATCTTATACTGACATCGTTTATGACATCACAGAGTCTTTATAAAGCATCAAAAACTGAATTTTAGGGCTTAGAATTTCTTCTCAGCTGTTCCTGGTGTATATTCCATTGAATCTTTGCTATTTTGAATTTGTTTTCTTAAATTGACTTTCTTGTAAGTATTTAAAGCTACAGTCCATTTAGAGTGATATACTCCTTAAAACATTTTTTCTTTTTTTTCTTTTTGCCTTGGTCCTTTATTGGATGTCTTTTTATCCTTCACGACCTCTAATATGGGTTCAGATTTGTCTATCTCTGAGAAAAGAGTCATCATCTAAGAGTAATATGTAAATCATGCATTTATATAATACTTTCCTCTTTCTCAACCTTTGTATATAAACAAAAGAGAGCAGTTTACTCATATTTCCATTACGTTAAAGCTCAACAGGGAAGAAATCTAGAGCCTCCCTGGAAGCATCTATGTGAAGCGTGTGATTCAAAGCTATAGAAGGGAAGCGTCTCTGTGCAGCTTGCCTGAAAGCAGCGTCTGGTCCTTCTAATTCCTACCCCTGACATCATGGATTTCATTAAACAAGTGGTATTAAGGAAGCCAGTAAGTCATCCAATACGTCTAGATACTAAGATCCTGTTTGGTCCAAAGATGATTCCTCTAATTCTGATATGAAAGTGGAATCTCTTCAAAAGGCATTTTCTTCATAAGAAGTAGTAGAGCCCTCTCCCACCTCACCTCCAGAGTGCGAAGATCTCTGAACTTGAAGGATCAGTAAAAGACAAATCTTTATCAAGCAAATATTCTCCAATCTTAGAAGGAATATAGTCTTCTTTCCTGTACGTGATACAAATAAAGAATTAATCTTAAATGAATGGACAAAGACTAATAAAAAGCTTTTACCTCAATGAAGAATGTCTCATTCCTTTGATGCCTCAGGTGCTGCAGCCTGTAAACCTTGTCCCCAAGGTATCAAGGTTACAACGTGTCAAGGGAATTTTTTCTGGAGTTTGACAATGCTCCTCCAAGTCCCAGCTTCCAGATCATAAAGTGACCAGGGAACAAAGAAAAAAGGGACGCTCTAAAAGAATTTATGGTTACCCTTTAAGCAGAGAAAGTTATTCCAGGTTCCAAAAGAAGAATGCACTTTCAGCTTCTGTTCTCACCTTTTCCTGATCAAAAGAGTGCCTTGAGGTTGGAAACTAATTCTGGACCTGCACAGACTTAACACGTTTTTGAGAATCAGGAAATTCGAAATGGAATACCTTCAATCCATACTGAAGGTTGTGTTTCCAGGCCTATGGATGATGTCTATTAACTTGCAGTATGCATACTTCCAAATCACAGTTTCAAGCACTTCCTTTTGGGCTGTATTGCACAAGTCCTTCCCTTTGGAAGTGCTGCTCCTCAGACATTCTTCAAAGTGATTGTCATCCTGCAGAACTAAGAAAAAAAAACGTATTGCAATATATCATTATCTAGATGACAGACAACAAAGACTCTTCTGTTACATGGACATCTTTGCTAAAACATAGTTGAAAGCTCAACATATCATAAAGCCAGCTGATTCATAACAAAGAATGACCTGTTTAGGAGCTTTGTTCAATTCCTTTCAAGGCAAAGTACATTTTTTACAGGACAGAGGGAGATGTCTTTAGTCAAAAGAAATATTATCTGTCAGTGTGACAACATTGATGTATGCCAGTCACTGGGGATGGGAAGCTTGGTGAATGGATCATATAGCCCCAGACTTCCCATCAAATGTCATAGAACATCTAGCAGTCTTCATAGCTCTCAATACATTTCACCATTTACTGTATCAGAAATGGGTGAAAGTACGAGTTGACGATGCTACAGGAGAACATGTAGAAAAATAATAAGAAACCTCCCTTTTGAAATCACCAAGGAGGAACCAAGAGCCGCAGCTTGATACAAATTCTATGTTGTGGGTTCAAAAGAATCTCCAGGAACTAGTAGCTGTTCATCTCCAACACTGTGACAGATGACCTGAGCAGGGTAAATATAGATCCAGGAGAATGGTCTGCATCAAGCAAGGTCTTCCAAGACATTGTGAACAAATGAGGTCTACCTCAAGTGAATCTAATGGCCAACCACAAGAACAACAAAGTCCCAATATACTTCTCCAGGATTTTTCATCCTCTAACCATTGAAAGGGATGCCCTATCCTGAAAATTTGACTTAATTCTGGGACATGTTTTTCCTCTTCTAGACCAATTTTCATTAAGGAAAATTCTGCACTCCCTGTAGATATATATATATATATATATATATATATATATATATATATAAACACCCTATGAAAAAAGACAAAGTATATATCACAGTTGAAAGAAAACAGTATCTATTTTTAAAAAATATGACCATTTCCAGCAATCGCTGAATTTACCAGGGAGGTGTGTACTATGTCTTTTTTCATAGGGTATATAAACTTAATCTTACCTTGCAACTGACCAACTGCTGATTACTAGCTATAAATATTATTTATTTTTAATTTTTCATGGCAACACAAAACAGTTGCCATCTGTATCTGATATGCTCTGGCCATTGCTACGGCAACTGAATGGAAAGCAAGCTATGGGGGGCAATCCCACGCAGAGAGAGCACACTCAAGGTCTTAAAAAGGTTTCGTGCCATTTTCCAGCATTCACTGAATTCACAAAGTACTTTCTCTTTCTTCATAAAGTATACATAGTACACAGATTAATTTTTTAGATACCACCGCACACATTTAATGCAATGAAATAATTTAATAGCCCCACAAACAGATGCAATATAGAATCTGAGGGTACTTCCCTTGTGCCTCAACAAACATATTGTAAATTATAATGTGCGCCAAATGTAGAGATGGAGGGCGTTATGTTGAAGAGACAGGTCAGAAACTGCACAAAAGAAGGATCCTGCATCACCATGCAACTAATAACAAGAAATCTGACACTTCTGTGGGCAAACATTTCAACAACAGAGGCCACAGTCTTCAACATATGAAAGTATCCATAAAAAAAGTCAATGTCAAATCACAGACGTAAATGTTTAATGCCCTGGATTCCTGCTTACATATAAGTAATAACTGTGTTCAGTTTAAACTAACTGTACACCGGGGCCCAATGGGGGTCATCTATGTTTCTTCGGAGATCTAGGTTATCATAATTGCCCTCAATATACAAAATATCTGGAGATAGCAAGATTGACCAAAAGGAAACGTCGTACATCTCTGTAAAATCACTGCAGAGACTGATCACTTACTCACAAACAAACTGTTTCATACTAAAGTTATTTGTGTATTTGTTTATTTTTTTCCTGTAAATCTTGAATACATATGTCTGAATTTCACCCATCAAACATGCCTGATGAAGGGATCTTGGAGTCGTAAAAACTTGCAAAATATTCCTCTTTCATTACCCAATAACAGTAGCACTTAAACATATTTTCCATCTCTTAAAAGGAAATACAAATATGCATTCCTAATGTTATACTGTCCATGGTACCATTTAGGTGACTGCCCTCCACCCTCATAGAATGGTGCTCTCTCTGTGGCTTTCTTGAATCTTGATGATCTCAGCCAATTTAATGTTTTCCCATTAGGAAGCAAGTGCACATGCACTATCTGAATGAGACCATCTGACTACATTTGTTTGAGTGCAGTGCTAAAATGTACATGTTTGTGTTCGCTTTTGTAACAGTCATGTTACTGTGCTGCCACCCACCCCATGTTTAACCTATTAAGGTTGAGTTTGAGAAAGAATACCCCTCTCTGTCTCATTACAGATTTTAAGTTTTTGCTGGAAGGTTTGCCTTGATGTGGCATTTTATTGGTCATTGGAGTGATACAAATAAACCATCAGTTATTTAAAGGAACACTATAGGGTCAGGAACATAAATGTGTATTCCTGGCCCTATAGTGTTAAAATAGCTATTTAGCCACTCTTTCCCCTGTTGCCCCCTTAAATATAGTTAAAACTCACTTTATTTCCAGTGTGTTATTTGTGTTATTTAAATTTAGACTTAAGCTGTTCAATGTGCAGAAATGAGTTTGACTTGTTTAATTTACATAATTTTCTTTTTTAGAGGTTTGTTTTTTTAGAAATATTTTATTGAGTATAGTAATATTATATAATTATTGTCAATGATTAATCCAGATGAGGACCCCTTGCTCAATATGCCTAAGAAGTATCATGTACATCTCACTGATGAGTCCCAATGAAGGCAGAAACAATCGTCTGAGGTTGTTGCATTTCCTTGCAAAAGTAGCCTTCTGGCATTTTAGATGTGGGTTGCCCTTGTGGGTGGGATCACTCTGATATGCAAATTTAAATAGTTCTCTCTAAAATAGCACAAGTGAGCTAACATTTGCATACGTACTGAGAGGGGCTCAGTTAAGGACAAGCTGTTTGACCTGTTGTCTGTTTTCTTGTTTTTGCCAAACTATATAATTCTAAGATACACAGCATGCATAAAACAGATCATGGTGGCAAGGACGAGGTCACTAAATTAGACATTGTGGCTTTATTTTACTGCAGATCTCCATAGCTTCACAAGGACTTGCTTGCAGGAAAGCCAAAGACCAACAGGCCTGACTGAAGATATGGGAGGTGAAGGACAGGCTTATATTCCATATAATCTAGCCAAACTTTATATCTTCAAGGTATACATTTAAAATTTACTTGTTAATATGTCATCATAATTGGTGTCTAACATGGTTTGTGATGCAATGGAAACCTTGACTGTAAACGTTATAAATATACCAACTGAGTATGCTTATCAGGCTCTTTTTTCAAAAAGAAAAAAATTGTATTTTACATAAATATGTACGTAACAATTTATAAATGATTGATGTAAAGTTGTTTCTACTGTTCAAATTGAGATGTTCTTTTATGAAGAGTCAGCAGACCTAGGAATTGCAGTTTTATCACAAAATATTAAATTGTCACTTTTTGAAATTAGCAATAAAGTATATTCTTAACAAAATTTAATTTTCTGAAAGAGACAAACTTTGCAGGAAAAGTTTGTCCATGTTCTCGCTGCTGAGTGGCTGGGATGCATGCTACTGCTGTAACCGTGTCTGTACAGGATGCTTCAGGAAAGACACACTTCCGTTTTACACTGTCAATACTGCATTTATAAAATAGTAAACACTTAGCAGTTGATTCACGAAGTAGAAAATGTGAGAATTAATTAAGGTAACATAACATTTAGGGTAAAATAGCAAAGCTGGAAAAAACAAGTTTAAGAGTTTATCCAATTTGGTTATTTTTGCAACATAAAAAATGTAATGAATTTGTCCTCTTTATAGTAAGAGTTTTAAATGAGAAAAAAAATACTGGAGTGTAAACTAGAAGTGTGTATTTGACTTTTATTTTCGTATGTTTTTTTTTAAAGGTAGTGGAAGATATGCAACGAATGAAAATAAAACACATGGAAGTTGTCAGAGAAATTGAAGGCAGTGGAAGATATAGCCAGGTACATCTATCCATAGTACATATATCATATCCTATTTTTTTTTTCTTCTGCTACCTTTTGTCTTAATGTACATTATCAATTTAGATTGTAAGCTGTTGGGATGTCCTGCATAGCACTTTTTTTATAAAGGCACTATAAATGTTAAACTTAAATGGCAGATTTATCTACTCCTCTGCACTATACCTAAATATGTCCTAATTTAATATTTTTAGATAAGCTTTCTTATATTTATTGAACAGTTCCAACTATACTATGTGACAAACGAAAATGCATTTATGGATTTCTAATCCCAAAAAAACCCACTGATGGACTATGTATTATAAAATATAATAAATCCCTGCAGAACAGAATGCAACTCTCTTTACTGGAGTGTCTTCTTGTGGTGTGGAAAATATTGAGGCTGGATTTGACCACAATGTCATAGTGGATTTTAATTTTAAAATTTGCACATGCAAGAAAGGAAACCACAGGGGAACTGCTGCCATGAGTATCCATCTTCCATCTCTCAAGGATAACTTTAACAGAATCTAGGCCACACTCCTTCCCTAGACATGGTGTGGGTGAGTGTGGGGGACTATACCAGGAAACCAGGACCACCAAGACAGACGGAGGGTTTTGTTTTCCACTGTATTATTTAACATGGCCATTTCACTCTCAAGAAAAAAAAGTGGAGTAAAATTTTAGGTAGACAATCATTTTACACTTAAAAAACAGATACAAAAAACATAACATGAATCTTAGGTTCTTCACAGTAGTTTTCAAAGGAGACATTTTCCATTATCACAAATTTTTACCTATTTATGCTCTGCCGATCTAATGTTGAAACAATTTTTTTGTGATCTCTCACTATGTACATGTAATCTAATAACCACCGTTCATTTTGCACAGTTTAGTGTGCTTTGTTTTTTTTGAGTTATTTCATGGTCAATTGCATTGGTTAACATTGCTGACCAGTTTCTGTTTCCGCCTAATGAATATCAAAAGTGGTAATTATAAACCATACATACTATCACCTCAAACAAGAAAGGTTTGAAAAATTGCGATTGTTCATAATCCATCTTTATTATTTGGGTAGCATTTTTATACTCTTTTGCACTAGTTTGTTGTGCATTCTTTTCTTTTCTTGTAGTTCCATACTAAATTTCTTTTCTTGTAGTTCTAAATAAGTAAACATAGAAATTGTACTTTGCTACCCTCCCAAGGTAGAGAGATAGATATTACAAGCCTTTGTTCTTTATTCGATACTGTTGCGGGCATGCTTATGACTCCCAAGGCCTGTTCTTCATTTTGTCTTCGGTGCAGGAGTTTTCCTGGACACGTAGGACAGTTTATGCAGAGGTGTCTTTTTTTACCATTGTATAGGCAAAGACCCTCTTTTCTATGACACTGCTTCTCTGCCTCAGTCAATTTGTTGAATCCTAACTGTTCCATTATGTCAGGAGTGGATGTCTCTGGAAGACTAAGCAGCTAACTTGTTTTTTCTGTTTATTCTTGACTGCTTGGCTCTGCCATAATCTGTTTCAGGATCTTAGGTAAGAGTCCCTGCATGTGTAATATATACATGTCTTTTGGAATTAAAGAAACCAAGACATATACAAGGCACTTTATTAATAAAACAGGCAAAGTACAATAGAAAACATATATAAATCAGCATATGTGCGCCCCAGTTCCCAATTTCAATAAATAGTGAGTGGAAAACATTTGTGGAGGGCCAGAGTTTTATGTCTGATTATAACTCAAATCAACACTGGGGAGCTTGAGGAGTACTATGTTCATTTAGGCCATGATGTGACTGTCTTTGTTTCAGCTCAGAAATGGGAAATAATAAAACCATCAACTGATTGCCATTAGTGAGTGGTGAGACAGTTTGTATTCTGTAGTTTAATGTTCCAATAACTGTTATTAGAGTGCAGATTTCAACTGATTTTCCAGCTAAAATCTAAAGATTAAAGTCCATTGTGGCAAAACTTGCCCCCAATCTTTATATTTTGATACTTTGCTGTTTATTATGGTAGGTAAAATATTATTTTATATATATGAGCACCATTAAATGTGAACAGCTGAAACCATTTTCTTTACTTCTACAGGAACAAGCAATTGAGATATGTAGAGATCACTATCGTAATAAAATGAAGATTATAAGGCTCAAGCTAGATGCTTATCATGATCTAATGGACAAAAAAATCATCCAGTTTGAAAATACAATCAAGGTAAAATAAAATTAGTTACATAATTACATATTTTATAAATCCATACATGGTTTCATATGGTTTCATAAACTGTTCACCTTCATGTTTATGACAAATCAAATGTTTTTTTCCTAAAGTCAGAGTTCAATGTAAATTTAAAATTTAAGGCCAGAGACAACTTTTTCCTGCAAAATTATACTTTCTGAATCACTTTTAGAACCTTCTAAAGGAACACATTGAAACATAGAATGTGATGGCAGATAAGAACTATTTGGCCCATCTAGTATGCTCAATTTTCTTAATACTTTCATTAGTCTCTTATATCTAGGATTGCCTTATGCCTATCTCACGCATGCTTAAACTCCCTTACTGTCTTAACTGCTACCACTCCAGCTAGAAGGCTATTCCTTGCATTCATTACCCTCTCAGTAAAGTAATATTTCCTCTAATTTAAGACTTTGTCCTCTTGTTGTGGTAGCTTTTCTTCTTTTAAATATACTCTCCTCCTTTACTGTGTTGATTCCCTTTATATATTCAAACACTATAGCGCTGTTATATACATGATGAAATGATGTCCAAATCACTGAGTATGTGACCCTTCTAGTAGTTGTCAGAGTAACAGCCACTAGTGGAATTTAAACCCAGCAATGTAACAACAAACAATGTTAAAACAAGGGTGACACGGCTCACAGACCACTTAATTGAGAGACAGTGGTCTGGGTGCCTAGAGTGTCTCTCTAATTAATATAAAAACATATTAGGGAACAAAAATAAGTAAGTATACTTTTTGTCATACAAACTAAAATGTATATGTTTTTTTTTTCTTCCTAAAAGGAGGATATTTTCTCTACGGTGACTCGTAAATTGAGAAGCACATTCCAAAATGTAGACCAACTTTGGAATTGAAAATTTTAAAATTTAAAATTTTTGATATTTTAAACTAAATGTTGGAACTTAGTTGTCAAGATGATAAGTATTAATATGAAGGGGCAAACATTACATTCCTGTGTATAAAGTCTACAGGCTAAGGACACCCTCACAAATATCTTCTCTTGCCCTGCATTTGTGGAAATTAGTTATTAATAAAGTCACAATTAACATTATTAATAACCTTATTTATTATGACTGGTAGTACATTACTGACCAAAAACATTATAATCATATACTGTATTCTTGCAGGATTTGGAAAAGGAAAACAAACATTTGATTCAAGAAAAAGAATCCCTTAATTTAAGAATTAATCAATTAAAAGAACAAATGAAGAATGAAAAGGTACTTTGATTGTTTTGGATGCCTTATTTCACAGAGTTGTGCAAATACATTTATAATGTATGCAATACTTTTACTCTGACAAATTATGCTATATCAAAAGCACTAATTATCACTTTAACATTTGCAATAGTGCACTATATATGTGTTTGTGTATTTTAGGATGCACTACCTTGTAATATTTGAGGTAAGTGTTTCTAGCTTATAGCCCTCTGCCATAACTGGGGTGGGTGTATATACCACAAAGTTAAGTTTTTTTTATTGGTTTAGTAATATTGTGTAATGGTGGGAGGTATTTAGACATAGGTGGTAGCAGCTGTTTTGACTCAATATTTGGATTTTTGCACTTTTTAAACGCCTGTTGCACAAATACACACTTATATCCAATGAATACCAGACAATGGAAAGGAAATGCTTCCATTGGTGAGAGAGAATATCACCCACTGATCTCAACTGGCTACACATATGAGAAAATTGTGACTTAGGATATGGGGACATTTTATGCTTTGAAATAAAAACTCTATATTTTAAAAATAAAAAGGCAGACTTTTGCCTGCAGTGCATATCCATTTTGCCTGCAGTGTACCATATAGCAAAGGTTGAACTAGAAATGGGAGCCCTTTTAGTAGGTCTCCAGTTGTAGGAACAACTACATCATATTTATCAAGTCTCAAATATCTGCACACAATACATTGTTTACTGGCAGCATTGCTTCTCGTGTGCAGTGACCCTTTGATGTTGGAAAGAGAGTAATAAAACTGCTCATTATAATACGCATGAAGAGTGGGTCTCAGGCATAATTTCCTAGCTGGAGAATGGGTCATCAAACCAATGCCGGGTTACATCATTTTTTGACTGTGATAAAATAAGTTGTCTAGGCTAGAGTAAGGATCTTAATGACAGTACAATACTGACACCAAGTGGAGATTTTAGTAAGAGTATCTGTTTGAAATAGTGAGCTTACTTTGGTGTACTTTTATATAAATAATAATTATATAAATAATAAACTTTTACTATATGCACATCATAGAATACTTTTTCAACATTTTCATTTTCATTATTATCGATTTATTATTGTTAAAATTTATTATTTGAAATGAATTATGGCAAATATTAAAAATCTTGAGCTAATGTCCATCTAATAATCTAAAATTGTACAGAACTGTATAGACACCTTAGCATTCAGGAGAGGATTGTAAGAAATTAATCAGTTTTTGATCATTGTACTAGAAAACAGGCTGGATGTACCCTGCATGCTTAGTGATGGCAAGCAATATTGCTCTGAAAACACACAACAGCTGGGCAAGTAAGAGGACAAGCTAGACTGAAGACACATTTAGGAAAAGGACATGGGCGGGGGAAATATTAATGGAAAGAAACTGGACTAGGGAGCCATTTAGTTAAAGGAATTAGACTGGGGAGACATTTAGGGAAAGGACATAGAGGCTGTTAAGATATTTAGCAAACATAGAAAGACTTGGAGACATTTTGGAGAGAGGCACAGTGAAGAGACATTTAGAAAAATAAAGTGACACATAGACTTGTCCATGTTTTTTTTTTTGGTGCCCCCAAAAATATTTGAGTGACTATTTTGCTTGCTATTTTGCTAACTTCTCCCCGTCACAAACATAACACTTCTAAGCACACACATTTTCGATGTAAACCACTCCTTTTCTTTGGGCTCCCAATTTCACCAGGTAACATGTCACCACTTCCTACAGTGCCAGTTTTGCCCCCAAAAAGCTCATCAGTGGCATCTCTGTCCCCATACAGCTTCCCAGTGCATTCTTGATCCCAAAATATCTTTGTCCCTATGTTATCAGTGCTACCTGGGTGTCCATAAAGCTTAATAATGCAATTTTTGCGCCCAAATAGCTAATCAGTGCCATCGTTGTCCCAAGATTGCTAATCAGTGTCATTTATTTTATCAAACAGTCTACCATCTTGTCTTCATATAGCTTTGCGGCTAGTAGGGATTTTATATGAAGTGTATGGAAGCTGTCACTGTACAACTTATGTCACCATTCTCTTTTGACTCTATCCCATCAACAGGGGCGTTGCAATGTGGACATATATATATATATATATGTATATATATATATAAAATACAAAATACAGAATCCAGCGCTGGATTCTGTATTTTGTATATTTTGGCCCCAGCAGCACCCTATAATGTATGCATGTTTAGGTGAGTGCAGCCCTCTTGGTTTTGTTTATATATAAAATACCAAATGCTCCTGCACTCACGCTTACACTGCCCTTGGTGTCCGGGTGCTAGCAATAAATGGCCATCCATCCATATTTCCACATAGGTAACTGCACTCACGGTAAATAAAAAGTCAAAATTTATTGTAAATGGGTTAAAAAACCAGCGATCAACGTTTCAGTCCTTTAAGGACTTTCCTCAGGATCAAATAATATTATTTGATCCTGAGGAAAGTCCTTAAAGGACTGAAACGTTGATCGCTGGTTTTTTAACCCATTTACAATAAATTTTGACTTTTTATTAACATGAAGGGGCAAACATTACATAATATTATTTGATCCTGAGGAAAGTCCTTAAAGGACTGAAACGTTGATCGCTGTTTTTTTAACCCATTTACAATAAATTTTGACTTTTTATTTGCGTGCAGCTACCTATGTGGATATATATGTATGTATGTATGTATGTATATATTTCCTGGCCATATAAATGGCAGCACAACATTGGGTAGCTCCTCCCTATCCCCAATTGGACAGGATTAATAATTGAAAGGTATAAGCACCACCTCCTACCCCTCCTTTCCCAGTCTTTTTTTCCTGTCCTATCCCCAGGAAATGTTGGTCATAAGACCATGTAAAGTTTTCTTTTATGGCTTACCTGAGGATTAGTTCCTCTAACCCCTTGGGAGTTCACCCTCTCACCCCTGGGAAGTCTCCAGCATACGGCCCTGCGCAAAGGTGTCCCCCTTTAGTGACCGGGGGTTTTTCTGTCAACTTGCAGTGACCCTAGGGGTAGCAAGTGTGATTTATGTATCTATATATGGAATTTACCCTTTATCCTGGAAAGAGGAAACCCTTGGAATATTAAGAGTAAAAGATGTCAGCATTACCTGAGAGCCCTCTTGAAGGGGAGTGATTGCACTAGTCAGAGAGCTGCAGATTGTTTCACATCGCAGTGTAACAACGTGGTTTTAGCGTTCGGATGTTTTGGCGCGCATGCTATTTACCATTATTTAGACGACATCCTGATCGTAGGAGACGACAGGGATACATTGGCCTCCCAAGCTATCACTAGCATCCAGTTTTTACAAGCACACGGCTGGAAAATCAACTCCAAGAAGAGTCACATCCATCCAACTCAATCTATGGTATACTTAGGGGCCCACTTCAACACGCTGATGGACACCGTTCAACTTTCTCAGGCAAGGATTGTGAAGCTCAAAAAGCAACTGAAAAATATACTAATATCCAGAGTTGTTCCTGCAAAGACGGCAATGAGTCTGCTCGAATCTATGTCTTCCACAATAGGTCTAGCCAGGTGGGCGCAGTGGAGAATGAGACCGTTCCAAGCCAATTTCCTGCTACAATTTTCCTCCCAGAATCTTCTCCAACCCATCAAGATTCCCCTCTCTATACGCCATACTCTGATCTGGTGGCTGAACAGGAAGCACCTATCCAAGGGTAACAGTAACGACAGATGCCAGCCAATGGGGATGGGGTGCTCATTGTCTCCACAACTTTGCACAAGAGGAATGGGGATTCACGACAAGCAACGTGCACTCCAATTTACCAGAGCTCCTGGCAGTTCTCAAGGCTCTGAAACATTTCTCGGCACATCTCAGGCAACGGTGGGTAAAGATAAGAACAGACAACACAACAGTGGTCTCCTATATCAACCAGGAGTGGCAAGATGATGGAGATTATGAAACATCTGATGTTATGGGTCCAAAGAAACCTGGCAGGTCTTACAGCCATTCACTTACCCGAGGCATGGAATCAACTGGCAGATTACCTCAACAGATCTAGGATAGACCCGGGGGAATGGTGCTTATCAAACAAGGTGTTCCACGCTATCATAAGAAAGTGGGGTCTCCCTCAAGTGGATCTTCTGGCCACTCGAGACAACAGGAAAGTGAGGAATTTCTTTACGAAAGAGAACGACCATCTATCCCTGGGAAGAGATGCTCTATCCAGTCCTTGGAGATTCAACACGGGATATGCATTCCCTCCATTTCCACTGATCTTCCCAATCCTGAGGAGAATGAGAACAGAGCATCTCATCTTGATAGCACCCTGTTGGCCTCGAAGACCTTGGTTTCCCCTCCTCCAAAGTCTTTGTGTGGAACCCCCGCTTCGGCTCCCGGACCTACTATCTCAAGGCCCAGTTTTGCATCCAGACCCATCATCCATCAATCTCATGGCATGGAAACTGAGAGGGAAGAGCTTACGAGTAAAGGATACTATGCTGAAGGCAAGAAAACATTCCACTTCAGCCACCTACTATAGAGTGTGGGATGTTTTCTCCACCTGGGCTATTGCTAAAAGCATCGATGTACAGAATCCCTCTACCACGGATATTCTGGAGTTCCTACAGTCTGGACTTGATAAGGGCTTAAGTTATAATACCTTGAAGGTACACGTCTCAGCATTATCCGCCTTAACTAATCACAGGTGGGCCTTCAATGCAGATGTCATCAGATTCATCAATGACAATTAAGCCATTTGTCCCATCTTGGAATCTACCTTTAGTTCTCAGTGCTTTGAAAGCAGAGCCTTTTGAACCTTTCGAGTTAATTCCGCTACATTTTCTCTCCATCAAAACGGCTTTGTTAACTGCCTTGGCTTCAGGGAGGAAGGTATCGGAACTTCATGCCCTATCCATCGATGAACTCTTCACGGTCTTTCACAAGGACAGAGTCATTCTTCGTACGGTGCCGGAGTTCAGACCGAAGGTCACCTCCGCTTTCCATATCAAGACATTTTGTTTCCGTCTCTGATGTCTGAATTTGAGGATGAAGAGGGTAAGGCAGACCTCTCTTCATTAGACCTAGTGAGATGTCTTCGGATATATATTGAAAGGACCGCTGCCTGGCGCTCTTCCTAGAGTCTCTTTGTCCTTCATAGCGGTTGTAAAAAGGGTATGCAGGCTCTAAAAACAACAATTAGCAGATGGATAGTTGTGGCCATCATACAATCCTATCAATCCTCAGAATGTCCGGTTCCAGAGGGCCTCAAAGCCCATTCTACTAGAGCCCTCTCATCCTCTTGGGCAGCCGCAGCCGGAGTCTCTCCTGAGCTCATTTGTAAGGCAGCAACTTGGTCTTCAACTAATACGTTCATCAGGAGTTATCAGATTGATGGCAGAGCAGGACAATCAGATCAATTTGCAAAATCTGTCCTTTCAGTTAAAAATATGTGGTTTTTTTTTCTCCTTATTTGTAACTTGATTGTAGTGCTAATACACTTTGCATTTAAAATTTCTGGAGTCGGTGTCTTCTTCCCTCCCTGGGTTATTGCTTGGGTATCACCCAATGTTGTGCTGCCATGGATATGGCCAGGAAAAGGGAAAATTTATTCATACTTACTGTAATTTTCTTTTTCTGGTCATAGGCCATGGCAGCACCCCACTTGGGGATATTGGTGGTAACAAGACTGGGGAAGGAGGGGTAGGAGATGGTACTTATACCTTTCAATTATTAATCCTGTCCAATTGGGGATAGGGAGGAGCTACCCAATGTTGTGCTGCCATGGCCTAGGCATCGGAGCTATGCTGGAGATGCAAAACACAGATAGGCACTATGCTACACACATTTTGGGATTGTCCGGCCCTGGGAGAATACTAGGACCGGGTGGGGAAATTTATCTCTGATAACATAATCTATAGAATACCAAAGAAGCCAACCAGCTACCTTCTGCATATCATCCCCGGGCTGATACACCACCCCATCCACAAAGTATTGCTCATCATTCTCACGGTAGCTAAGAGCACGACAATTCCCTCGTTAGATACTCTCATACAGAGATTGAATACGATAAGTATTTATGAGAGAATGGTTAGCAAAACACAGGGTTGTATAGGTAGGTATGTGAGAGATTGGGAATGCTGGACCACAAATATTGGAAAGGACAGCAACGCTAACAATGAGGAAACTGATAGGAATAAATAGCTTATAGGGCACCACTTTTGTGTGACTTGAATGTCGAGCCAGACTCTAGGGTTCTAGGGCCAGGGTATGTGTCACAAGAACTGTTGCATAAGCGATATCAATGTGAACCTAATCCCCTCTTTTTTTTTCCTTTCTGTATTCCCCTCCCTCTATGTTATCTTTCTATGGTTTTCTTATGTTTTAATTAAGCTAATAAGGCTACAATTACCGGAGGACAACAGCATAATACGTTTAAGCAAAGCATTGTTGTCAATCTAGGAAAAATAGTTGTAACTTGTCGTATAGCAATTGTTTACTCTGTTATATGAAAATGTTACAGTTGTGATATTATATGCATTGATAACATTCTCTAATAAAAATTATATATGGAAAAAAAAAAAAATTAACCACGTGCATATAGATATGGGTCACTTTGTACTGACTTGTTTAGTTAGTTTAATCAGTTAACATTAAACAGATGTTGCAACAGGGACATTAATTGGACAAATGATGCATAAATGCTGCTGTTATGCTAATAATCAGTGCATCTACATGAGGACAGAGGCAGTAAGTACTAAATGAGACGTACAGAGACTTTAAATTAAAACGTGCATATACAGAATAGCCAGTATACAGATATCCTATGTCCCCGATGATCTTTAGTGTTTCCTGTAGTGCAACTACTTTAATCAGTATGTATATAACAATGGTGTATCTTTGTTATTCACACAATGGTAGGTTAGACAAAATACAACCAAGCTCTTCCTGTAACAAAATACGAAAAAAACATCAGTGATCAATGTCAAGGGTTTATCTTTTAAATGTAAAGTTAGGCGTTGGGAAATAAGAATTATCTATTAGCCTTAGGTGTTGAGGCTACAGGTTATGATTATTGTCAGTGGTAATTGTTTATGGCTGTGTTAATGTTTTTAATTACATCTACACAGTGTATTTTTAGTTAGGAGCAGATATTAGAGTTGATCTTTAAAGTTAAGAACAGTTTGGGTTTTGCCTTCAGATTAAAACTAGGTTTAGGCGGCAGTGGTGAAAATGTTAAAAAAAAAAGTTACTCAGTTCAGCTATGGATTAATATAGTTCCATGTAAAAATAATAGTATGATACAGCCTTGACCTCCCCACACATACTTTAAATAGAGAACCATTCATTAACCCCTTAAAGACTGAGCCAAATATACACGTTGTGATCAAAATAAAACGTAAACAAAACCTGGAATTTGCGCTATATGTCTGTCCAACCGTAATTCACCTCTTTCATATTAAATGCACCCACACTTATTATATATCATTTTATTCAGGGTAAACAGGGCTTTCTTTTAACATAAACCATTTAGCTATGAAACATAATTTAATATGAATAAATTATAAAACAAATGGGAGTAAAAAATAATTCTTATTTTGTTGTTCTACGTGACATTTTAACTGTGAATGTCATAATACTGTTTGCTTTTACTGCAATAAAATACACATATTTGTATTCAGCGATGCCTCATGTGTAAAACAGGTTTTATGGTGTTTTGGGAAGTTACAGGGTCAAATGTAGCATGTTGCATTTTTCTGTTTTTTCACATTGAAATTCACCAGATTAGTTACGTTGCCTTTGAGAGTGTATTTTAGCCCAGGAATGATAATTACCCCCATGATCGCATACCATTTGCAATAGTAGACAACCCAAGGTATTGCAAATGGGGTATGTCCAGTCTTTTTTAGTAGCCACTTGGTCACAAACACTAGCCAAAGTTAGCGTTAATATTTGTTTGTGTGTGAAAAATGCAAAAAACTCATTTGAAAACTCATTTGAATTTTGGCCAGTGTTTGTGACTAAGCGGCTACATCATTTTCACTGACGATATCATCGTTGTAATACATTTTACTCTTTTGAAACACTAATATTTTGAAACACTGTCCAGAGTTAGCATTTAAATTTTTTTTTGCATTTTTAACACACAAACAAATATAAATGCTAACTTTGGCCAGTGTTTGTGACTAAGTGGCTACTAAAAAAGACTGGACATACCCCATATTGAATACCTGGGGGTTGTCTATTTTAAAAAAAAGTATGTAGATGTGAGTTGTGATTCAGAGATTTAGGTCAGATAACAGTTACAATGTCACTATTGATACATTTTAAAAATATATATTTTGAAACCGCAATTTCCTATTTGTACTTATAGACTTATAACTTGCAAAAAAAAGCACATAAACGCTGGGTGTTTTTAAACTCAGGACAACATTTGGAATCTATTTAGCAGTTTTTTTTATTAGCTTTTGTAGATAAGTAAAAGATTTTTCAAATAAAAGTTAAAAAACATGTTTTGTTTTCAATTTTTTGCCATATTTTATTATTTTTTTAAAAGTACATTACAAGATATTATACAAATAACGGTATGTAAAGAAAGCCCCCTTTGTCCTGAAAAAAACCAATATATAACACAAACACCACAAAAGTGTTAAAAAAACAGCCCTGGTCCTTAATATACAACATGGCCAAAACAGTCCGGTCCTGAAGGGGTTAAAGATACTTTATTTAGTTGTTTTTATTTTAAAAAACATTGCTAAACATTTTACATACAATATATAAATAATAAAGTATTTCAACAATGTATACCATCAGATACTGCAGAATTTATGTATCACCATCATCTCTGCATACATAATACAAACATACAAAGAATACAAATTTGAGAACAAATTTTTGTGTATAATAGTTTACAGTGTCATCCTATTAAACTGTCTCAATTTTCTGACATCCCCAATAGTCCAGTAACCCCCATTAAAAAAACAAAACAATTAGAGCTAGAGATATAATGTCATGCCTATCAACACTGGTGAGATAGCTCAGTGGGACAATGCATCATCAGTAGAATCTGTTCAACCCTCCCGACTGGGTTGACTCAGCCCTTCATTCTTCTGAGGTAGGTAAAATGAGTACCATTAAATTGGGTAATAATAACAACCCCTGGATGTTGGGCTAAGGTAACATCCCCAAGACGTACTTGAAAACCAGAGTAATCTGAATGTACCTTTCCTGGTTAAATATTTTGTTATTATTATATAATACAAGCATAATCTATATTTAATCACTAATTCCACCTTGTTTAGCTGGCAGAATTAAAGCAAAACATTGAGGCAATGCCCCTTTCCATTTCACATTGCCATTTTATTGATTCTAATATCTGTGGCCATGTGTCTATAGATGGCTTTTTCCAATTTCTGTTCAAATACATTTTAAAGGCCATCAGAGCATGAATCAAAAGATGTTTTCTTTTTCCTTTGGCAATTTAGGTAAATTCAAATGTAGCAATAGTAAATTCAAATGTAGCAATGCCATCTCTGGGGACCATGATTGTGTCAGATGTAATAGGTTATTAATTTTCGATTGTTATATTCCCCAGCCGTTTTTAATGTTAGGGTACAGTCACAATATATGCATTTCATCTGCCTTGTCTAAACCACATCGCCAGCATTTTTGAGTGTCTGCTAGTGAGAATTTTGCCATTTTTTCTTTGGTCAGATACCACCTGTTCATGAACTTAAAGTGTGCCTCCATAATGTTCAAACAGTGAATGGAGGAGTACACCGACTGTAACGCACTGTTCCATTCCTTCAGTTCTATATTAACTTGGAGATATTTTCCCCATCTTGCTTTCCCGTCATTTTAAATTATCTCATTTTATCTAAATATTGGTATTGTTAGATTCCTAAATTTGAAATTAGCCTGAAGGGAACTTTTAATTCTAGTATGGATAAAATGTTGTTCATTCGGAAGTCCATATATTTGTTGAATTTGTTGAAAATACATTAAATTGGACTTTTTCACAAGATCAGACATATATGTAATACCATGACTTAGCCAGACTCTTATATAAAATTCTTAAAGATCTTATTTATGGTCTTAAGCCACTAAAGGGACGTGGTTATTGGAATCATTCTTAAAATATATATGATCTTGGGAAGTATAAAAGCTTTTACCGTATTGGCTCTGCCCCACCAAGATATCTCTAGCGTGATCCATTGTTTTAAAAGATTAAACGATTGCTTATTTCTTTAACCAAATGAATTAAATTACCCTTAACTGTGTTTAAAGGGTTATATGGTGTGTATATATATATATATATATATATATATATATATCCCCCAAAATATTTATAGGCTTTTTTTTCCCAAATAAAATCATATTTATCATCAAGTAACTTGTGATTTCTGTCAATAAGGTACATTGGGAGAGCCACTCTTTTTTGGACATTCAGTTTATAATTGGAGAAAAGGCTGTACTTATGTATTTCAGACTTTAAATCAAAAACAGAGGGGTAGGGAGTGACCAAGTTTAATAAAGTATCATCCGCATACTGGATAATTTTAAGTTCCTTATAATTAATTTCAAAACCTCTTATTTTCCTCTTTGATCTAATCTCAGCATCAAGGGGCTCCAATACCAGGATATATAGAAAAGATGAAAGGGGGCAATCCTGACGGGTACCATTTGAAATATCGAACCATTCTGACTTAATACCTCCACCTACTACTCTGCTTGAAGGTCCTGAATAAAGCACCATAATTGCTGAGAAGATGTTTCTAGAAAAAACAATTGCTATTAGAGTTTCTCTCATAAATACCCAGTTTACTCAGTCAAAAGCTTTCTCCCCATCCAAAGCCAGAGAAAGGAAGGGCGTTTTAGATGCATGAATTTTCTCATATATTTTTAAAAGCTTTCTAATATGGTTAGAGGCAGATCTTCCCGAAATAATATTTTATAATATTTAAGATATTGAAGAGCTTCTATATGCAAGGAACCTGTAAAATAAAATGGAGGCAATCCTCTGTCTTTCAACAGGTTTTTCATTTATTCTAGAGAATGGAACTCGAAGTGATTCTGAAATGTCAGAGCAGCTGAAAGAGCAGAAGCACAACGTAGTACAATACACATTCTGGTTTGAGTCTATTTAAATAATATTAATAATATCACCATTTAATATGACTGTTTAAGCTTTATGTACAATAATATTTTAGTGAAATAAAGATCACGTTCCTTAATGTAGTGTATGGTAAAAAATATTTTGCTACTGTTTGTGTACATAATGTATTATCATTATTTAATTAGTAAATGATGATTATGTGTACAGACTTTTGCTTGAATTTTTATACTAATGCTGTATTTTATGTTTCCAGATTCTAAAAGAGAATTCAAAAAGTTTAATTCAGATGACTGAACAGGAGAGAGGATACAGTACGTTGGAAAAAGTTAAAAAATTAATGCATGACAAAGAAAATAATATAGCGGAAATTGTCTGTGAAAAAGCAGATTTATATGTTACCTCTAAGTCAGAAATTACTCTCTGCAAACTACTCAAAGCTGTTACCGAAAAGGTATTATTACTTAAACAGTCAATCTCATGTTTCAAGATTATTAGCTGGAAAGGCAAACCAACCAATAACAATGAATCTGCACGCTTGACTGATTTGAGAAATGTAAATGCGATCGAAAAAGGCATTTGATGGGGAAACATGTATAACAGTGTTTTAAAATGTGCTAGTTTTCTGTGTTCATTTACCTATGTAGTCTTTCAAATTATTTTACAGTCTGGTGATGCATTCTTACATTTTCCAGCAGGCAAAGACAGATAGCATTGAGTTCTAGTTACTATATTACTCAAATATCCTTTGTTCTAATCCTTGTTCAAGTGTCTTGCCTTTCACCTTCCCATGTTCCACTGATGTCTCTCCTGGTTGCCTTATCATTTACTTGAGTATAATTTATGAACATTTGTTGCCTTACCTGACCTTTTTGCTCTGGATACCGATTCTCAACCTTCACTGCCTGCCATGATCGTAGGCTAAATTTACTTCCTCTGCCTACTGCCTTATACTTATTGGTATCCATCCCAACCCGTGTTCTGCAGCTCTTTACCCAGGTGTCTACCTCAAACTTTTATATTACCAAAATTCCATGCTGAAAGGAGTTCACGCTTGTTAAAAGTTTGTTAAGAAAGTTTTGATGGTCAACATTGGGCCCATACAGATTCATTAATGTGTATATCTAGTTGTTTACAGTGTAGAGTAGCACACTATATCTACATTTGTGTAGTAAGAAGACTATGTGTCTATTAAAAAGTACTGATACTCCCCTTGCTTCAGCCTTGTAAGTTGCATGGCATTGGAAAGGGTATTTAGCTGTTTGGAGCAATGGATGTGATCCATGTCTGAAGTGTGTCTCTTATAGACAGTCTGTATTGGCTTTGGAATATTTAAGTTCCCTATATAATTAATGTCATTTAATACGTATATTTAACCCCTGTACATTGTGTGTTTATATTTTAATAACAAATCAGAAGAGAGTATCGCTATGCCTCCACTTGTGAGATTCTATCACCCAATTCTTGTAAGTCATTTCATATGTCTCCTATTGACATATGCAGTTTGGTCAGTAATTTGGCCAACATTCTGCCCAGTAAGTTCTGAAAACTTATTTTTTTGTGTTATTTTATACAAATTCACTTGCATTTTTTTTTACCAAATCTATTTTCAAAAAACACAACTAATTAAACATTTCTATTGCAGTCCTATGTATAAACATAATGAGTTTATTTTGTAATAAAACCCTTTCTCGCAATCAAATTTCCAATACATATGTACTTTTTACGTTGCTCATATGGTTTAATGCAAACTGCTCTACCAATTGGTCAAACTATAAGTTAAATTGCATGTCATTGTTACCATTTATTGTTTTTTTTTTATTAATTATATATTTTTATTTATTTAAGCACATATAAGCTTGTTTGACAAAGTGAGTTTTTTTTCTAGGCTAACTTGCTGTATACAGAAGTGCAAGGAGTAGAGCCCTTTGTTAAAAAGCTTTTATTGAAAAATCATATGGAAAGAGATCAATGTAAGAAACTTATCAATAAAATTAAAGATGACAAATTATCACATGACACAATTTTTGACACTGAGCTGTTGGACTACGAAAGGTAAGGAAAAAAAACCATGCCAAATTATTTTTAGGCTTAATAATTTTGGCTTAATTTAATCATTCTGATTTTAGATCATTGCAGTTTGGAGTTTACTTAATAAGTCAAAAGTTTGAGTACACTTCTCCTCCTCTCCACCGACGAGGAGAATGTTTTCAACCGCGTGGATTGGTCCTTCCTCGTGGCAACGCTACACAGATTTGGATTCAGGGATAAGTGGATGCACTGGATAGGAGCTTCCCTGAATGCAAGAGTCCGGGTGAATGGAGCCCTGACGGACAGATTCCCAATTCAGAATGGAACACAGCAGTTGACCTCTCGGACCTATATCAGAAAAATGTCATACCCTTACTGCATAAGATACAACAAGACCTTGGGAAATGGAACTACCCACACATCTCCTGGCTCAGACGCATAGCGGTAATTAAAATGAACATCCTGCCGAGACTCCTTTACCTCTTCCAGATAATACCACAAGCCTTACCCATGTCATTCTTCACCTCCCTCCGCACATCAGTACTGAAATATGTATGGATAAACAGAAAACCCAGAATACGAAAGAAATACTATGCCTACCGAGACAGAGGGGAGGCTTAGCACTCCCAGACTTCCACAGATACCACCAAGCAGCAGCGCTCCAGAGAACACTGGAATGGCACACAGCTCCACAACAAAACCTATGGACAACACTGGACAGAGACAGTATGGAACACTCCTTGAAAGCCACTATATGGAATACTAAAAAACTACACGTGGATAGAAATACCCAAACATGCTCAGCTGCCCAAACTCTGAAAATCTGGGAAGCGGTCCGAGGACCCCCCCAAGTATCCCCAAAACCCAGCCCGATGATACAGGTGACAAACAATCCTCTCATAGGGTGGGGTATACCACAACCAGATTGGGACATTTGGAGGGAAGGAGACGACACCCCCATCCACAGAGCACTTCAAGCCACAGGTATATGCCCACTTACTGAACTACTGGAAGGCAAGGCACCGACACCGCTGAAAAATTTCAGATACTCCCAACTCAGACACTTCTACCATTCGATTCCCAACAAAGCCGCCATCCATAGGGAACTAACCTGGTTCGAAGGCTTATGTAATGATAAGACCACCCTAGAGAAAGCAATCTCATCGCTATACCAACACCTCCTCACCGGCCACCTAGAGAACAATCACACCTTCAAACGATCACACCTTCAAACGATCCAAATGATTAGAGAAAACAATATCGGACCCCTTATGGGAGAAAAACCTGATACTAGTACACAAAAGCTTGGTGAGCACAAGGTACCGTGGGGGGCACTGAAGCCAGCCAGGGTGACCAAACATGAATACTTGACTGCCTGAATTCCATACTACCCCACTTCCCACTCGGACCTTCCAATCTTACTTAACATAAGATCCCACCCTCTCTCCATTCACTCTTCTAATCCCTTCAACGCACAACATACTGAAGACCCATGACTTTAGTTTAATGACAATCAGACATAACCTGAAGTGACCCCCACGTGAAATGAGAGATGCAAAAAAATAAATAGTCACCACTACAAATGCTGGAGACACACCACACCATAGAAGCTAAATCCAAACCGACATAGGTGGGAAAGGAACTAATTGACACACACAAACACCCGCTGACTAATGACAATAACATGAGCCACACATAGAGAACCTCCCGCACCCACTCGAAAACACAACAAACAAGGTTACCAACAACAAACTCATGTAAATAGACACACCGCTGCCCTGACACAACAACAAACCCTTCCATCCTAACTACAACTTAGCAATCACATTGCCAGTCACGTGAGAAACCACTCTACATATCCAGCTACACTACGAGCCAGCAACTATGAGAATCACACACCAGCAGTAACTGCAATGTAAATAAGCTGCACCTAAATGCACACGCTCTCATGAAGCTAGGAAACGACAATGAGGAACCAGACGACTCCCCCTCCCCTTCACACCGAAAAGGACCAATCCTCCTACTGAGTAATACATTAAGCGTACCCCGCGACCGGGTAACACGCTAGCATAGTTCTTGGAGTATGAACGAACTATACACGCCAAGCACTGACAACCAAGTTAGACATCAAAACCCACAGGTTGATACGACCTACCACTTCATATGTCCACTGACTAATTGTTTACTACATGTCGATGCTTCTTCGTAATGTTTATACATGGTTATGGGACCTGCGAGTCTCATATTCGCTGTTATAGCACCGTTAAACTATTGTGCCTATAATTCTTTGCTACAATAAAGTCTTGATCGAAAAGAAAAAAACGGACCAAAATAAACCTAAGCCAATCAGAATCCTCATTCCGGTGTGCACACCTAGTCTCAGACATTTCTGATGTCAAAAAGGAATTGGACTCGCTACTTGCACTATACCCACTGCAAAAAGCGTTTAAAAGGGACATACAAAACAGAACATGGGGATGATGGGAGATTGGCTGCAATGATCAGCATTATCACTAGGTGTCAGTATACGTTTTACACACATACATGATAATGACTCAGTTGTAACTCAAATTGTTTTTTGCAATGATTGATACTAAGTTGCAAAAAGTATTTTCAAATGTTTAACTGTTCACTTGCTGACATATATACAGTTGTATAATGGAATCATAGTAAAGTATATAGAAATAATTGAAGAAATACTCAATATAGCTGTTACTTATTGAAATATTAGTTTAATAATTATTAAGTGCCCTTCTTCTCCCACTTTTTGTATAACTTGTTTAAACTTGCAGTATCTTGCTGCGTATCTGCTGTATAACTTTATTGCTGTCAAAACTCTGAACGCATTTAATACTTTACATAAAATGTACGAATGTATGATGCACTCAAAAAAAAAAAAGTTGGAGTACACTTGTATGGCAGTTTAATTGTTTGGGTTTAAGAAGGTGCGACAGAATTGATAAGTCTTTACCATGTACTTGATAAACTCAATAAATCTATTTTTCTATATCATCTAGCATATTCTAAGCACTACACCAGAGGGAGCCAAACACACAAAACAGAATTAGTAGTTGAATTAATTTATTGCACAGAAGAGTTAACGACATAAGTACAAAAGCTAAAGGTGTCTGGTGATAAAGTATCTTCCAGACAAACCCCCTCCAAAAAACAAAATTCAAGAGGGAAATACAAGTATATTTGTCTGCTATGTTTTTTTTCTAGACTTGCTTTTACTACTCAGTCCATCCAGACTATTTATGTTATTTCTAGTACCAAGCTAGTTTGTGAAATGTCTTGTATTTTTGTTGTTTTCAGACACACACTAGAATATATACACATTCCCCTATCTAGATTGTAAGCATCTTTCTGCAAGGTCTTCTTCACCTCTTGTCTTCTTGTTCACCTATTTTTGTCTGACAATTATTATTTAATGCTAAATATTTAATGTAACATATCCCCATTGCGTCACTGTAAAGCACAATGTAAATTTTGCCATTATCTAAGTGCTAATAATAATGATAGTAATAAAAATAACCAGTTAGTAAAATACACAGGGCCACTTATAACTAGCCAATAAAGCTTGCAACCACTTAATAAAACCTTCTTTCAACCCTGAAGCAAGATCTCTAAACTACACAGGCTCGCTCACAATGAGTCAATAGAGTACAAAGGGCCACTTGTAGCCACCAAGTAACACATAGAACCCATTCAGAATTATTCACTCAAATCCAGACTAACATAAGCCAGGCAAAATGACCCAATTTCAACTGGATTAATAATACTCAGACTTATGAAGGACTAATCTGGTTTAAATTTGGTCATTTAGATTAAATGAGCAAATTTAATTTGGAAGCATCCAGTGTGTGTGCTTTAGTATCGGCAATTTAAATCACATATAAAATAAGATCTTCATATTTATAAAGTACCATATTTCACCTGAATTCTCTCTAAACTAATCTGATCTAACTCAATTACACAAAATAAACCAAGAGGACTTTACTTACCTAAGCATGTATACTTATACGGGTGCCGCTGGGGCCAATTCATACAACATACAAGATCCAGTTAGTACTTGATGTTAACACTGAAAGCAGAAATATAGTACAGTTTTTTCGAAATTTGAGTCTCATGTTTCACCACTGAATCAGCACTGGATTTGGCTTTCATACATTTGGTTGCATCACCTGGACAGGCTAAAATCCTATAGATGTTTAAGTCTGTGTAGGGCCTGAAATGCAAAATTTGGACATTGATAAATTTGTGAACGGTCTCTAGATTTTGCATTCCAAATGCAAATGGACAACTCCAGATTATTTTTGGTAATCTGCACTGAGGACATTGGGACTTTAGTGAATTAACTTTCCAAATCCATTCCAAAAAGCACTTTAAAAGGTAACCAGTAAAAAAAAGACTGCTATTCACAGTATAGCTTAGAGACCTATTCACAGCCAAAAGGAAAAACTCACCAAACTTCTAAAAGCCACACAATAAAACATATAGTCCTTCTCACAATGCACTAGTAAAATTTAGAGTCGCTTTTACCCTTACAGTAATAAAAACAAACCTGAAATAAAATGTTGGAATTGACATAAACTGGGGATAGGTAGAAAATTAATCTCTGCTGAGCCATTTTGCCTGAAAAGAGAAAATTACAGGACAGCTGTATTTTGGAATAATGTTAGTTTAGCTTGGCAGATTTTCAGCACCACAAACCCAGTTCAGAAACAAATCAGATGTACCAAAAGGGCACAAAAATTGGCCAACATTAATGGGTCAATGAAATATTATGGATATATTTTACAGGACATTAATAGGAGCAATTAACCGCAATTTGGTTCACAGTTCAAGTGAGAAAAAGTGAGAAAAATCCAACAAAAGGAAAAAAAGGAGAAACAGAAAAATAATAATAATACAATACATATATATATATATATATATATATATATATTTATTTTTTTATTTTAATTTTTTTTTTTTACTGCTCCTCCTTTTCCCACTCTATTGGATACTTAATGATACCTATTGCTCATTTCTCACTTGATCTGTGATTAAAATCAACACTTAGCTGCTGTTCGTTAGCTACATTTAGGATCACGGCCCGAAATTAACATGCTCCATACTACTGCACATTTTGGATAGTTCATGATTCGGGTAAATTTCAACTCTGAGCACTGGAATTTGAACGATCAGCTGTTTGGGACAAATTTGCACAAATTGCGGTTCAGACCAAAACAAATCTCTAGTCTGGTGTAGTTTTGACAAAAAACTTTAGACTGGTAGTGTGTATATGTATTTAACATTCTGGATGTTATATGTTTTTGCTGATGACATTCTATTTATTTATAGGGAACACAATGCTGTACAGTTCTGTAAGAATCTATTACATGCAAAGGATGCCATGGAAAATGCAGATATTGAAAAAGCAGCCCTGGAATGTATTCAGATGGGTACAGTTCCACATTGGGTATTTAAACATTCATACATCTCCTTATCAACTGGTAAGTTGTCTTGTAGTCAACTGTTAATTGACTTAATAATCAATACACAATCAACAAATGTCCAAATTTTAAAAATAAAAATCACATGTTGAAAGTATTTTGTTAAGCATTACTTTTCAAGAAAAGAACTCTAGGCTGATATGGAAGGCCCCATGGATCAGTTTTGCACCGGGGCCCCATGGATTGTGTGTAAGCCACTGGCTGTGAGAATGGAGTATTGGCAATCTGTGTGTGTGTGGGTGGGGGTGGGGGTGGGGGGGATAGGGTGAGAACCAGGTCAAATACTCCCACTGAGAAGTCAGGAGCTTTTATGTGCATTTATGTCCGGCCATTTGCAGAGGCTGAATAAATGACCATACCCATAAAATGTCTGTGTATATATCTCTGTCTTGTTTTATGTGTCAGTCAGGTTGTTAGCATGTGTGGGGTGTAAATATTTGCATTTGGCTGTATCTGTTTATTTGTGGGTGTAGATGTAGATATTTTTCAATGTGTATATAAATATATATATATATATATGTATATATATATATAATATATCATATAGTGTAGATTGTATACACAAAAATAATCATATGTACATATTGCAATTACAAATAAAAAGCTCTAGAGGGCAGAATTAGTCAAGCACAATAGTCACTATGCCTCCTTTCCACTAAGCCAGCGGATGGAAAACTTGCCCAATGACGACTTTGGTTCGAATAGATTATGGACTTGCACAAGGGTGAAAGGCTGATGTTGGAAGATGGGAATTGGATGTTTAATTCTGAGGCAGCATAATGTGTGATGATTTGCAAGAGAGAACAACATCTGCTCCGACCAACTGAAAAAGCCTTGTTTGGTGAAACCAGTCGGAGCAGACGTTATTCTGTCTTACGAATAATCACACGTTAGTTGGCCTTGGAAATTAACTTTTGGTTTCCACCTCTCAGCATGATCCTGTATAGAACCTGACCTCTGTAAAGATTTGCATTGGTTTGTAGAAACCACAGAACTGGGGGGTGTCTTGGCCACCATCTTGAATGGCCACCATTTAGAGGTGCTCCTGGGGCATTGGGACAATAATGTTCCAAAATAACTATTCATCTCTTTAATATACTTTTTTCATTCATTACTACTGCTTTAAGAAAATCTTCACAACATGAAGAAGAAAAAAACAGCTGAAAAAATAAAGAAAACTGGCACTGCAGCAGCTGGGGTGAGTAAAATTTCAACTACCCACTCCCTCTCTCACATAACAAAACTGCGGCTTATTTCACCGCTGACTTCAACTCCAGGGACATCAGTGGCAGTGGCACCCTCCCACCCTTCCACCCATCAGCGCACTTATGCAAGTGCGGCCCCGGCCCGCTCGCAACAACAACAAAGCGGCAGGACAGTGGCTGCAATAGCTGTCAGTCTGACAGGCAGCCCTACTAGATCTGAGTGCTCAGAGCACTCAGACCACAGAGGATTTTTCCCCGCGAGCGGTGCTGAGTGCAAGACAAACTGCGAGTGGCTTAATATTAAAGTTGCCCAATCACTCACTTATAAGAGCGATCGGGATGGAGTGAATAAAGGGGGTGGGATCAGGTCTCGCTCCCCTTCGGGTCCTTCAGCCTTATGGCCGTCGCTATCTGAGGAGGGTCACTGATCTCTGCCTCCATAAGTCTTAAAGAGACATCACACATATGTGGTGCAGAGGAGCACAGCATGGAAGAATTAAACACTGGAAATAAGGAGGATGAGCCTAAAGAAATAGTGATGTCACCACTGCCACAAAGAGCAAGACTACCAAGATGGCAGACAAGGCACAACTTGAAGCTTCCACAACAAAGGTGGCCACTGCCACCTCTAAGATGGCCACTACTAATATTAAAGCTGCAACATATAACCTAACTATGCCACCTGAGTTGGCTGTAGATTTGCCACCATCGGCTGGCATGTTGATCGACCTCATACAATGTTTGAGAGTGGATTTAAAAAATTATTTTAAAAAGGACTTTGAAGCAATTTATGGCATCATGGACGACTTTAATCAATGAACAGAAGAAGTGGAACATAGATTGCATTCTCAGGAACAAGTTCATCTGGATTTAGTGGACACAGTGAAGGCGCTTCAAGAACAGTTAAATCAACATGTGGAGAAATCCGCAGATGCCGAGGACAGGAGCAGACGCAACAATTTAAGGATAAGGGGCATCCCTGACAATATTGATAATATAGAATGGCCAAATTACTTTCCAACAATGGTGAGGGCAGTTAAAACCACTGCCACAGATTCCGAACTGTTAGTGGACAGTATTCACAGACTGACTGCCCAAACCAAGTAATGCACCTGCGGCTTCACCTAAGGATGTAATAGTGAGGCTTCACTACTATCACATTAAAGAAGAATTCTTGGGTGCAGTATGCACATCTGGCCTCCCCTGGGATTACAGAAATCTAAAGGTCTTTCAAGACTTTTCAGCTTACACCATGAGAAGATGCAGGGAGTACCAGCCTTTCACGTCAGAGTTACGTAGAAGAGGGCTCAGATATAGGTGGGGATTCCCGGTAAAGATTCTTATTCACATGGATGGTCAAAACTTTATTATCACATCCCCTGGGGAGGGTATGGAGTTTCTTAATTCATTATGTAAATGTCCTGCATTTTCCCACATGCTCTCACCATGTACTCCTGATCATCCCAACAAGAGGAGTAAATCAGATGCCACATGAAGATTGAGACAGCTTTTAAGTTCCCTATTCTTCAGATCCAATATAATGTGCTATTGTCTACAGATTCCTAATTCGTATGTTGTTGGAAAGATCACTTCACAGTGTGTTCTTGTTTTGGGTTTTAATTTTGTCACTTTTTCCTCTCTTTTCATGAGCTTTAAATCACATAACAGATCTCAGTGTTTGTTGTGAAGATTATTGGGATTACTTGAATATGTGATTACATTTTTATATTTTTTCTTTTTATTTCTTTAGTTAGATTAACGTCTGGGTTTAGATGCCTGAGGTTACATATCACCAAAGATTAACCCAGAACTTTAATGACTGAACAAGTTCATATTTATGTTTGTTTAAAAATAATGATTTTATTTGTACATTGTTTAATGATTGTACTTTAATTACAATGATTCCCTTTGTTCCCAAAAAGCTCCCCCCCACCCCAACCTGGGCCTAATATCCAGAGAGGGAGACTTTTTTTATTCTCCTTCGTGGCAATATTTTTTGAGAATGTTTTGTTTTTCCCCCTGATAGAGGAATATACCCAAGTTTTTTTATTTCCTTTTTATAATTTATATTATTTTGTCCATTCAATTTTTGAGACTAATAACAAGTTACATATAATGGATATTTAATAGAAAGTACATGGCTTAATTTACTTAACTCAGTATGGCTTTTAATATTAAAATTGGTTTATTTCTGCCTTATCTTTGTTTACACTTGCAAGAAAACTGGTTTCTGTGTTATAGAAATATTGGACTTGCTTATTTTCTCTTGGAGTGTCGGTGTTCGGTCTCTCACATTGTTATTTTCCTTTTCTCTTATTTCTACAATATTCACTGTAGATTATGGTGCTGACATTTTTATCCTTTAATGTGAGGGGCCGAATACTGCACACAAGAGCAGATTATTGTTTAAAGAAGTTAAGAAATGCAAGTCTGATATTGTATGTATACAAGAGACGCATTTTAAGGAAGATAAAGAACATAAGTTAATGACAAAGCTCTTCCCATCCCAATTCCATACTGTGCATAAAACAAAATCTAGAAAAGTATCGATTTTTTTCAATAGAAATGTTCAACAGATAAAGTGGTAACAGACAATGATGGGAGATATGTGCTATGGATAGACAAAATTAACAATATAGAGTATACTATTGTTAATGTATATTTCCCGAACACCGGCCAGTTCAATTTTTTTAGAAACATTATGGACTTAGTGAAAGAGAATGCATGTGGACACTTGATAATGTGTGGTGATACAAATTTTGTTTTGGATGGTGAGCTTGATAATGCTAGAGAAGATCCCACTTAGTCTAACAGAAGGGATAGTGACAGACTGGCAGAAAACTATTCTAGATATATGATTGAATGTGGTTTGTATGACACGTGGAGACTTCTCCATGATGGAAAGAAAGATTTTACTTATTATTTGGTTTCGAAGAATATGTATTCGCAGATAGATTCTGGATATCAACTGGTCGGACCATGCTCCTATTGTAATGCATTTAGATGAGATTATATCTTCAATCCTGAACCGAAAATGGAAATTAGGGGATTACATGCTAAGTGACGAGGAAAATAGGAAACTAGCTGAAAGGGCTTTAAATGATTATTTTTCAGATAATGTTTCATCTAAAGTTTCTGGTGAGGTGGCTTGGAATACACACAAGGCTGTGTTGCGAGGTCATTTTATTTTGAGGGCTTTTCACCTGAAGAGAGTTAATACCAAAGACTTAAGAACTTCAGAAAAAGAATTATATAATCTAAATCAAGCAAACAAATCTGGCCCATCAACTTCCTTATCAACAATGATAGCGGATATCAAGTCAAAAATCAACAAAATCAATTCAGACGATACTTTTCTCATGGTGAGACGACTTAGGAAAACATATTATTTAAAGAGCAATAAGGCCTCAACTCTTCTGACATCCAAACTCTGGCATGTGAATGCTCAATCCAAAATAACCTATTTGATAAATGATCAGGTAGAAAAAGTTTTTGACCCAACAAAAATTAACAATTTGTTCGCTGAATATTATAGCAAATTGTACAATCTCGGATCAAATTCGGATATATCTCAGCCCACAGAAGACAAAATTAATCAGTTCCTGAATAGGGTTAAATTGCCTCGGATACCTACATATAAATTGGAGAGTTTGGAATGTGACATTTCGATTGAGGAGATAACAGAGGCAATCAAATCTATGCCATCAGGAAAGGCCCCTGGTCCTGACAGATTTACCATCTCATATTATAAAACTTTTGCTCAAATTTTAATTCCCCATATGGCAAAATTATTCAATTTCTATAAGACCGGGGGGAAGATGCCAGAGGAGTCCTTGTGTGCACAGATAGTTGCCTTACCAAAACCGGGTAAAACTCCAGATAAATACCTTAATTTCAGACCTATTTTACTTATTAACAATGATTCAAAGATATATTCCAAGGTGTTAGCAAATAGATTGGCTAAATTGATTCCGCTGATTATCAATAAGGATCAAGTAGGTTTTATACAAGGTAGACAAGCACCACATGGAATGAGGAGGTTTATCAATTTGATTCCACACATTAATTAGATTAAGACACCTTCTTTGCTTCTATCTTAAGACGCAGAGAAGGCGTTCGATGGAATTCATTGGGTGTACTTGTGGAAGACACTAAACAAATTTAATGTTCCTTCATCTTTTATAAATGCAATTCCAGCACTATATAGCAACCCCACAGCTCATGTAACCGCTTCTGGTTTCAGGTTTAATACTTTTTCTTTTTCTAATGGAACCAGATACAGGTGCCCTTTATCCCCACTTCTATTTGTCCTTGCTATTGAACCCTTGGCCGAGCTCATCAGACTAATCCCAGAAATAGAAGGTATAAGGTTTGGTGAATCAATCTACAAGATAGGATTATTTGCAGACGACATTATCTTAGCAATTAAAAACCCGAAAGAATCCCTAAGACACTTGAAAGATATATTACACCAGTATGGAGAGGTATCATTTTACAAACCTAACGAATCTAAAACACAGGCTCTTCCCTTTCATGTTAATCACTTAGACCTTATGACTCTAAAGAGGTTATATTTATATAACTGGTGAAACAACTTCATAGACTATTTAGGCATTAGCTTATGTAAAAATTTACAAAAATGCATACTTATAATTTGAGGAAGGCATGGCCCATTTTACAGAAGAAGATGGAGAGATGGTGAGGGATGGAGCTCTCATGGTTGGGTAGGATTGCGTCCATCAAGATGACAGTCCTCCCAAAAATCTTGTACTATGTTAGGACCACACCCCTGTCTATCCCATTAGCGTTCTTTTAAAAAATTAACTGAGCAATTTTAAAGTTTATGTGGAACAAGAAGCCAAGCAGAATCAAACTAACTACTTTGCAACATAATAACTTCAATGGGGGTATTGGCGTACCTGATATCTGTAAATATTATTTAGCTGCCAATGCCGCAGTTGCAGTTAGTTTTAATAACAATATTAATAAACTGAGATGGCTAGAAATGGAAGAGGTTAAGGCTTTTCCATTTATACTCAAAGAGGCTCTTTGGATAGTCCCGACAAAGAGACCTAGAAATACGAAGATATTCTTTTCAACAAAAACAACGTTTAAAGCTTGGGATATTATTTTTAGAAATAATAACCAAGTCAGAGGTTTATAAAGAGCAATGCCACTCACATTGCTGAAGGAATATATGCCATCTTTAGACGTAGATTTCTGGCATTCTTATTCCATAGCTTATTTAGATAATTTTTTTCAAGGCAATGCCATACCGTCTTTTGATAAATAAAAATTCAAGTATGGTTTGCTGGACGAATCTAAATTTAACTGTTCAGTGATAGTAAACAAGCTAAAAGAATGATTCAACGTTTCAGAAACAGATAAAAACTATACAACACTCGAAATTCCAGCTCTGGAAAATATTTTCCTGCATGATCCAGGAAGAAAAGGCATAATTTTTCTGTTATCATGTTTATAATGTTAAACCTTCAGACAAACTGAGACATATGTTGTCATAGGAGACAGAGTTAGGTACACAATACAGTTTGAAAGAATGGTTTGGTGTTTTTACTGCCCTTAAGGTCATTTCACACTGCACAGATCATTTTGAAAACCATAATATGATTTTATAGCGTTGGTACCTGGCTCCGTCTAGACTACACAACATGAATAATGCATACTCAGACTGGTGTTGGAGGGATTGTGGAGATACAGGAAATACGGTGCACATATGGTGGTTTTTCCAAAATTAGTCAGATATTGGAAGACGATTCATGATTTGATTATTAAAGTGGACAAAGATATAAGTATCTTGACATCAGTACTAGCACGTTTTAAGAAATTCCCAGAGTCTGTTGCAAAAATTTACACAATAATAATAGGCCACATCTAATCACAGCTACTTCATGTCTGCCTTGATAATGGAAGTCTAAAAATCTACCTACATGTAAAGAAATTTTGACCATGGTTTTAGATAGTAAAGCAAACGAATTGTCTTATAGAAAGAATACTCATTTATTTGCAAACCTTCAACATATTTGGGAAAAATGGGAAGAAGATATTAAAAAAACTTAGTTCTTATAGAATACTGTATATTTTTTGTTAAGTTCAAAAATGTATAACTAATGTTTTGTACAATATTCCATATGTTTATTGCTATGGATGGATCCCTTTTCCTATTTCCAAGTTTCCCTTCCCTTTCTTTCCCCAAATACTATGTTTAACTATTTGTTATTATTTGTTGTGAAATACATTATAAAAATTATTTGAAAAGAAACCACAGAACTGTTATTGGAATTAATCAGGGTCCCAATGACACTGTCTGTCAAGGTGTCATTTGTGCATTCAGATAGTTCCTGAATGTTCTCATGCTTGAAAGTGTTCTTGTTATTATTCCCAGCAGATGAGTGTGGGGCATAGGGGGCCCTTTTGGTTTTCCACATAAAACATTTACAATAAATGCAACATCCAGCATACCGCAATCACATCTATTACATAGAATCACTGAAAACTGTATACATACATCGCAGCACTTGTATGTACTGAAGATGAAAAAAAAAAAGAAAAGGAAAATCCTAATAAAAATCAACCTATATTTGGGTTTAGATTTGAAATCGTTTGCATAATGGGCCACCCACTCCTTACTTTTTTTAGTGTTTGCCAAGTCTTCAATAATAAATAATTAATAAAGGGGATAGAATGAATGTTTGATGATTTCCAGCTTCTTGCAAGAGCAACGTTTTCAATTGTCAAGATAAGAGTGATCAGGTAAATGCAGATTTGTGATTTGGAGGGATAAAACCCAAGTTTAAATATCAACATAAAATGCAGATCATTTGCCAACTTAGCAGGATACAGGAACCACCAAATGTTTGCTGTGTTTTTGTTGTTGTTAAAGTGTACATAAGAAGTACAAACTTTAGAAAAGTGTTGTGAGAAAATCTATATCAAAATAGATATCCATTTCCATTCCCAAGAAAGGTAATTTTAACATAAGCACTGATTAATTGATAAAAAGAAAAATCTTACAAGGTATCCCACAGATCCTAAACCTGTTGGAAACTCACAAAATGATTACCCTTAAATAAAACTCTTATGAAGCGCACTCCTCACATGGAACAACTAAGTAAATTTAAATCAGTCAGTTCAGCTGCCTTCCTCCTTTTATAGGTTACTACACTGCTCGAAAAAATAAAGGGAACACTTAAACAACACAATGTAACTCCAAGTCAATCACACTTCTGTAAAATCAAACTGTCCACTTAGGAAGCAACACTGAGTGACAATCAATTTAACATGCCGTTGTGCGAATTGGATAGACAGCAGGTGGAAATTATAGGCAATTAGTAAGACACCCCCAATAAAGGAGTGGTTCTGCAGGTGGTGACCACAGACCATTTAGGCCATGGGCATTCAGGGATACTAAGAGAAATTTGTTAGGGGGGGTCATTGCGGTAGGGCACATCTGGGTGGGTGTAGGCATCCCGGTGGGTTCTGTGCAATAAGACTGAAGGAGATTTTTAGTGGGCATCTCAGTTCGTACTTTGTGGTAGAAAGGGAGCATCTCAAGGGTAGGTCCGGGACATGGGGTATTACACAACTTGCAACAATTGTAACAAAAATAGATAACATAAACAAAGTATATACATAGCAAATAGCTAAAAAGCATTATGTGGAGGACCCCACCGCCAAGCGTGCGCCCTCTACTGCTCTGAGAGGGGGCTACAGCGGCAGGTGGTGTCCCGAGAGAGTGTCGGGGGAGGTGGTTTGCCAACAGTCGGTGGGGCCTTTATGCCTTTTAGGGCCCAACCACATATAAGTGATGGGAAAGAGGATGGGTGGCCCTTGCGGGAGCCCATTGGGGGAATTGGTAAAGGCCGGTGTCGACAAGGACTGAATTGTGATTCTAGGCCAGCTTTTGCGCCTCATCTATTCCCTGTGGGGCACATTGTGGATCATGGGCGGAGAGTTCCTTCCCCTATTGCCATTTTAAGTCCATTCAAGTCTCTCGTTCGGACAAGTTTCTGGCTCACAAGTGGGGCAATGAGTCAGATGCATGAAATGGTGAGAGAGATAGTGTCATGTTGGCTGGGCCTATTAGGGTGAGGGCGTAATTGTACTCACGTGAAGGTGAAAAGCACTTTTTCTCCCGCAGTTTCATAGCATGGAAAATCGGTCTGTGGGGTTGAGCAGTCCATGGAGATTCAGCTTCAACTCCTTGGTAGTGTCATTTGCTAAGCTTTTGTCCAACTTGTGGCCACTTTCCGTAGTGAGGCCGGAGAGGTAGTCGCGTTATCGTCGGGGAACAATCCCCAGGCTTTGAGTGTCTCCATTCCCTGGGGCGGATCTTCAATTTTGGTGAGAGATCCATTCCACCATATCAAGAGTTTTGTGGGAAAACCCCGGCTGTAGGGCACTTTGTGATTTCTGAGGCACTTTGTGACGTTGATAAAGTCCCGTCTCCTGGACATCGTCGTCGGAGATAGGTCAGCATATAGGGATATCTCCTCATAGGTAGGTGGCATCTCGGAGGCCTTCTTTTGCGCCGTAAGTATAGCTTCCTTTGCACTGTAGTAGTGTAATCAAGTCACTATATCCCTTGGGACATCTTGTGAGAGTTTGCTGGGTTTTGGTACTCGGTGCGCCCGATCAAGGCGTAGATCCGCTGGCTCCAGGGCAGGTTGAATTGCCTGAAAGAGCTGCAGTAGGTAGGACGTCAGTTCTTCGTGTGTTATCTTTTCCGGCACTCCAGGCACGTGGATATTATTACGGCGGGACCGGTCCTCCAGGTCCGCCATTTTTTCCATCAGGCGCCTGTTATCTTTTTCGAATTTCTGCAATTTTTCTACTATTGCATCGTTTGCCTGATACAGTTCGTCTGTTTTTTCCTCCAATGCGTTTACTCTTGTCCCCACTTCCAGGAGGTCTTTGCGCATGTCTGAGACTGCTGTTTGAAAGTCGGTTCTCATAGAAGAAACTTGTTGGGCTTTTGGAGGTGCCATGTTGGGGTTAGGCAGTGTTCCCCTTACCTCTGGTATCTTTTTTGGAGTGGTATAGGCTGTTTGCCGCTTATTTCGTCACTGTTTAGGCCGATCCGATTACGGAGCTCTCACAGCATGCGACCGCTCCGTTGGACCGGAAGTCCCGCCCCCCATTTTGACTTGTTTTAAGGACATTACATCAAAGTTGGATCAGCCTGTAGTGTGTTTTTCCACTTTAATTTTGAGTGTGACTCCAAATCCAGACCTCCATGGGTTGAAAAATGTGATTTCAATTTTTTATTTTTGTGTGATTTTGTTGTCAGCACATTCAACTATGAATATTTAATTCATTCAGATCTGGGATGTGTTATTTTTGTGTTTCCTTTATTTTTTTGAGCAGTGGATCTTTTCCCCATACCACAAGCCTTAGAATGGGGGGTAGTAATTCCATGGGAAGTGCTGCTACCCACCTAGTCTGATATATACCCACTCACCCATAACCAAGTAAAAGTGTGATGCTAAGATGTGTTTCTACATTCTAAAAAATATGTATTTTTGTATTTGTAATTACTCTTATACAGTGCTGATACATGCAATTGAAACTATAAATTATTTGATTTAACCATTAATACATATTTTGTATTCATTCACTTATTTCCTTTACATGTAAAAGAGCATCATCAGTATTTCAGTAATCTAGCTTTTTTTTTCATTTATGAGATTATTTCATAGTTACTGATAATTTTGTTAAACTAAAAATATATATTTTTTCTTCAGACGTGGCCTCTGATGAAAAAAGTGAAATACATGGAGTCCAGTATGATCTGCATACATCAATACAGGTATACAGCTCTACATATTTTTTTGATTTTGCACAACAGATGATATTAACCCATTAACGCCGTTACGGCATTCTATGCCATACCCATTTAAAAGGGCTTTAAAGCCGTTACGGCAGCATAGAACGCCGTAACGGCTGCAGCCCCCAGAGCGCCCGGGATACTTACCTTCCCGACGCTCCGCTTCGGGAGGACTGCCTCACAGGCCAGGCAGCCCTCCCACCGCAAAAGAAGCCCCCGGGGGCCATGTGATCGCTCTCAAAGATCGATCACATGGCCCCCTATAGCTGGCTGTGGATCTGCCAGCAGGGGGACTGTCTGAAATGTCATATATATAATATATGTATATATATATATTATATATATAATATATATACATATTATATATATATTACATCATACAAAATGTATTTTAATATTAATATAAGTACATATATTAGTATTAAAATACACTTAGAATGACGTTACATATATATAATATATATACCATATTATATATATAATAGATATATACACATATATTTTATATATATATATACATATATATGTATATATATATATATATATATATATATATATACGTATAATTACAATAATAAATAAATAAAATACTACAATTAATAAATAAAATATTGAATTTTTTTTTAATATAAATTATATATTCATATGTAATTTCATTCTAACTGTATTTTGTTATTAATATATATATATTGGTAACAAAATACACTTAGAATGACATTCTATATATCTATCTATATATAAAATGCAAATAACAGCAAATATATATATATATATATATATATATAGATAAATACATATAATTACATAAAAGATTACATTAGTATACACATAGAATTTAAATACCTCTAAATGCATATATATTCAAATTCTACATGTATATTTAAGTAATCTTTTAACATAATTATGTGATTTGATTAATTAAAATTTGATTAACATGCCTGACAACAGGGAGAAAGTGCAAAAAATTTAATTCGCAAGCACTATATTTGACCCTGTAACTCTCCAAGACACCATAAAACCTGTACATGGGGGTTACTGTTTTTTACTTGGGAGACTTTGCTGAACTCAAATATTAGTGTTTCAAACTGGTAAATTGTATTACAACAATGATATTTTAAGTAAAAGTGAAATTTTTTGCATTTTTTTTTACAAACAAACTGCACTTTTATGGACTATATTATTGTTGTAATATGTTTTACTGTTTTAAAACACTAATATTTGTGTTTAGTGAAGTCTCCTGAGAATAACAGTACCCCCCATGTACAGGTTTTAGGGTGTTTTGGAAAGTTAGAGAGTCACATATAAGGCTTGCATTTCATTTTTTTTACATTTAAATTTGCCAGATTGGTTATGTTGCCTTTGAGAGCGTATGGTAGCCCAGGAATGAGAATTACCCCCATGATGGCATACCCTTTGCAAAAGTAGACAACCCAAGGTTTTCCAAGTGTGGTATGTCCAGTCTTTCTTAGTAGCCACTTAGTCACAAACAATATTTGTTTTTTGCTTTTTTTCACACAAAAACAAATATGAACGTTAACTTTGGCCAGTGTTTGTGACTAAGTGGCTACTTAAAATGACTAAACATACCCCACTTTCAATACCTTGGGTTGTCTACTTTTTCAAATGGTATGCCATTATGGGGGTAATTCTCATTCCTGGGCTACCACACCGTCTCAAAGGTAACATTACTAATCTGGCAAATTTCAATTTGAAAATGGAACGTTCTATGTTTGATATTTAATATGAAAGAGGTGAACTACGGTTGGACAGATATGTAGCGCAAATGCCAGGTTTTGTTTACATTTTGTTTTGTTCACAATATGTACATTAGGGTTCGTCCTTAAGGGGTTAAAGAAACCTGGTGGTTATCCCATCCACAAAGTTATGTAAATAAACATATATTTATGCCTATATTCACTTACAGGAGAATAATAAATAGGCCACAACAACAACACTAGCTATATGTTTATCAGTCTGGAGACCTGGTGAGGTAGGAGGACCCAGTTTTCAGCCAACTACCCCACACCTTGGCATATGTAATTCATTTTCCTATAATGGCATTGATATGCCATTTTTTCATATTGGCATGTTGATTCTACTCTATTCAAAACCACTGACAATGCAGGTGGATTAGTATTCTTTCAATTTTCCAGCTATACTCATCTTGGCTGCAATTAAAATATGAACCGCTGCAGTACTAGTTGGTCTACGTATGTCAAGAAGAAATAAATGTAACAGGTAGCAAATCCTGGCTTTATCCCTTGTGACAGACATAGGGGATGTAATAATGTTATACCATGGTATATCACATTTGTAAGTGATAGATCAGGTGTAAAAGCATTAAGACACAGTGTATAGGTGCCATAGCAAGTAAATAAAGTTACTATTGTTGGTGCCCACTGTTTTCAACCTCACATCATTAAGCTTGTGCTTAGAAGTATGGATAGTGCTTGGGTATGGGTCCGAGAGGGTATCCATAATAGTGTGAAAGGGAATTATGTAATCTAAACCTAGCCAAATAGAAGAAGACTGTGTCAACACAGCTAAACTATGTGATAACACTGATGCTCTGTAGTAAGATCTTATATCTGGGATGCTTAAGCCTCCTCTTGTGACTGTCAACCAAAATAATTTATATGGTACTCTTGGAGGTTTTCATTTCCATATGTGTGCATTTATAGTAGTTTGATATTGTTTCCATAGTATCAATGGTGATTCTATGGATATAATACGAAAAAGATATAAAATGTATGGTGATATCATCATTTTAACAGTGTTAACCCAACCCAGCCACAAAACTTCCAAATCACCCCAAGTTTTCGTGCTTCTGCACAATTTATATTTATTTATATTTATTTTTATTTGTACTCAATAAATTATATTTTTAGACCTATTCCAGTCCTTTTTTATCTTCATATACTGCTGAAACTGGGACTGCTGGCCTGAATTGGCACCCCTGAGCCTGCTATACAGAGCCTGGTATGGCTCTGGGAAATGTGAGTAGAAGTCCTAAGTAACAGCATTAAACGGTTCACATTATGTTGTGTTTTATTTTATAGGTATTATTCTAATATATCTCTACTCGTGGTCACTACTCTATCCTAATTCTCCTTGACCTGTCTGCGGCTTTTGACACAGTTGATCATCAACAGCTTCTTCTCATCCTCTGCAATATCAGTCTACAAGATATTGCTCTCTCCTGGTGCTCCTCCTACCTCTCCCAGCGCTCTTTCAGTGTTTCTTTCTCTGGCTCTGCTTCTTCTCCCCAACTCCTCTCTGTTGGTGTCCCCCAAGGTTCAGTCCTTGGTCCCCTACTGTTCTCCATCTATACTGCCTCCCTTGGTAAACTCATTAGCTTCTTTGGCTTCCAAAATCATTTCTATGCAGATGACACGCAAATCTACCTGTCCTCTCCTGAACTCTCCCTGTCCCTCTTGACTAGTGTCTCTGACTGCCTTTCTGCTGTTTCTAACTGGATGATTGCCCACTTCCTTAAACTAAACTTGACAAAAACTGAAATTCTGGTCTTTCTTCCCTCAAGTGTTATTACTCCTGTGTCTGTCTCCCAACAGTGCTACCATCAGCTCCATCACGCAGGCTCGCTGCCTAGGTGTTCTCTTTGACTCCGACCTCTCCTTCAAGCCTCATGTTCAATCTATCGCCAAATCCTGTCATTTCAATCTCAAAAACTTTGCACACATCTGCCCCTACTTAACGCCAGAAGCGACTAAGGTGTTGGTCCATTCCACTGTCCTTTCTTGCCTTGATTACTGTAATCCACTTCTCAGTGGTCTTTCGTGCTCCCAACTTGCGCCGTTACAGTCCATAATGAATGCGGCGGCGAGGCTCATCTTCCTGTCCGCCCGCACCTCCCATGCCTCACCCTTCTGTCAGTCCCTACATTGGCTTCCTATAAAATATAGAGCTCAATCTAAAATTCTGGTTCTTGCTTTCAAATCTCTACATAATGCTGCTCCCACCTATCTATCCTCCCTTATACACAAGTATGTCCCGTCTAGGCCCTTACGATCTGCTGAAGACTATCTTCTGTCCGTACTCCCACCTCTGATGCGCGCCTTCAAGATTTCTCGAGGGCTGCACCGTTCCTGTGGAACTCGCTTCCCTCCTCCGTTAGATGCTCACCCAGTCTCCACTGCTTCA